CCAATTTCGGACCAAAATTTTTATGTCGAGTTTTACATAGTTTCCTGCAGTATTTGGTGTGCTGATCACAAAAATGGCTTTTATTTTCACCCCAGACCTTTACTTTTCCAATTATTTACCAATTTTGGACCAAAATTTTTAAGTCGAGCTTTACATAGTTTCCTGTAGTTTTTGGTGTGCTGATCACGAAAATGACTTCCAATTTCATCCCAGACCTTTACTTTTCCCAAAATTTACCAATTTGTGACCAAAATTTCAAAGTTGAGTTTCCCATTGTTTCCTGCAGTTTTCAGTGAGATAATCACGAAAAGGGCATGAATTCCGGCCCTTTCGTTACGGAAGACACTTATTGGCCTTATTCTGCACATATTCTTCGCCATCTCCCATAAGAATGTGTTCAGACGCATCGCTCGCCTACTACGCGCCCAAACTAAACGGCGCGTACCCCTAGTTTAATACGTGCAACGCCTTCCCATGACCCCTCCGATTTTGACCAAAATTTTTTTCTGAGATGCCCTTATGGTAAGAAAAAACATCCCAACATATTAGGTCGCTAAAAAATTTATTGGCCGAGAAAACCAATGTTTTCTAAATTTGCCACTTTTTTACTTAATTTGGGAGTTTCTTTACTACTCTGAGGTTTTTGGTGCTAAGTGGCTGAAAATCAGTTTTCTTATGTAAAATTGCCCAAGGAACAAGAATATGGTCACAGATTTGATCTACGACCGATATCTTGAGAAATACTTACCCAAAACGACCAAATTTTACTAAAAATACCCAAATTTTGGGGAAACGGTCAAAAATATTTTTTACCCACGATCCGTTGACGCCATCTTGTAGAAAAAGAGCTAATAAAGCTAATGAGCACAAGCCCAGGTTCGTAGCTCAAACCGTTTAGAAGCTGTAAGGCGTCAAAGTTCGAGGTTTTTTGAGGGGGCCTGAAAACCGGCACTTATGACCTCTGCGCTCAATGTCCGGCACCCGAGCCGTACCAGCCATGATCCTTGCTTTCGAGGTGAGGTCTACGTGCGCAATGGGAGTCAAGAAGAGGGTGAAGCGGCCCAGCGTTTCTGAACAGGGTCCTCTTTAGAGCGCCTGAACAGCCGAGGGTTGGTAAGCTCACCCAACGGCGCTTGGGAAGCACCGTGGGCTCGCTCGAGGCCACGGAGAATGCCATTCAGTGTAAGTCTAAAACTGTCGCCCTCGACCAGCTTCGGATTCTGTTGGCTGCCCCTTCCTTCTCTCTCTTTCCCACATGGTCCAAAGCCGTTGCCCCCGACCCCTCAACCTGCCCCCAATACCGGATTTATTGCGAGGGGGCAAACACTTCAAGAAACCGTGTACAGACTACTCGGTATTACGCTGTATTACGGTGTATTACACGTGTATTACGGCCTTAAAATGCCAAAATTTGGCTTATTTGATCCAAAAATGGTGTTACGATCTCGTGTATTACGCGTAATACACGGTTTTGGTGTACAGGGTATTACGCGAGTGGTTACCCCCTTGATTTATTGTGTGTCGTTTCAGATGAATTTCAAGCTTTTTGTCGGAAGCTGTCGCCCTTTGGTAAGCTTAGGAAGTTCTTCGGAATCTGTCAGCGTTTCCCCGGCGGTTTTCTCGCTTTCCCAACCCTGAGGGGGTCGAGGGCGAGGGGTTTGAAAAGTTGGGAAAGGGTGGAAAACAGCAAGGGGCAGCCGACGACTTGCGATTCTCTCCCGAACCTTCCTGAGGGCGACAGCTTGAGCATGGTGAAAACGGAACCTGGTTTTTCCAGGAAGCCTTTGGTAGAGACACAGGCCACTTCCAGGGAGTTCCTGGGAAAACCAGGTTCCGTTTTTACCGTGAGACCATAACCGAACAAAACGAGGGGTGAATGACTCAGCGTTCTGGTGTACACATGAGTACATGAGTACGGGTGAGTACACCTATACTTTGCTCGCAAATTTCGCATTTGTAAACGTTTAAAGGTTTTATTTAGCGTTTTAAAGGACACTCAACGCCAAATCAAGCGAAAAAGTACAGAATTTCACCCTTATTAAACTTGTGAGTACACTGAGTACGGGCAAGTTTTGTACACATGAGTACACTAATGATTCACCCCTCGACTCAGCTGCAGGTGAACTAAGGTGTGTAGTGATCTGAGCACACTCTCGTTAGGGCGTACTTATCTAAGCACACTCTCGTTGGAGTGTACTCAGCTGAGCACGCTCTTACTGGAGTGTACTTGTGAGGTTGCGATGAGTTATTCTACGAACGTCACAGTCGTTTGAGTGTGGATTTTGTTAAGCTCGTTTGAATATAATGCGAGGGGTGAATGACTCAGCGTTCTGGTGTACACATGAGTACATGAGTACGGGTGAGTACACCTATACTTTGCTCGCAAATTTCGCATTTGTAAACGTTTAAAGGTTTTATTTAGCGTTTTAAAGGACACTCAACGCCAAATCAAGCGAAAAAGTACAGAATTTCACCCTTATTAAACTTGTGAGTACACTGAGTACGGGCAAGTTTTGTACACATGAGTACACTAATGATTCACCCCTCGGAACAAAAGCTTGAAATTCGTCTCAAACAACACACAAGTTATCCAGTGTTTGGGAGGTTAAGGGGTCGAGGGCGGAGGTTCGGCAATGTGGGAAAGGAAGAAGAAGAAGACACTCTAAATCCAAAGGCAATACTTTTAGCACCTTTTTTGGCGATACAATTGAGTATCGCCAATAAACGGCCTTACGGAAAAGTATTGCCTTCAAAACGGCGATACACAAAAGTATCGCCAAAATTTGGCGATACTTTTGAGTATTGCCACGATTTGGCAATAAACGTTGAACAAATCGAGGGTACAGGACCTTGGTTGAATGCCGTGGTTTTGGCAATATCCAAAAGTATTGCCAAATTTTGGCGATACTTTTTTGTATCGCCGTTCTGAAGGCAGTACTTTTCCGTAAGGCCGTTTCTTGGCGATACTCAATTGTATCCCCAAAAAATGTACTTAAGTATCGCCGTTGCATTTGCAGTGGAGTGAGGAGGAGGGTGGAGATTGCGGCCGACAGAATCCAAAGCTGTTAAAAGGCGTTAGCTCGCTGTCTGAAGGTTGAAACAGGTTTCCCGTTTTCGTTTTCCCTAAATTTGGCCTTCTTAATAGGGTGAAACTTTCTATTTTCTCGGACCTTTTTCTCTAGTTTTATTCGCAAGGTTCAATACTTTAAGGAGGTATAAATAGGTATTAAATACGATATTATTGATTTCCGGAGCGAAACGCATGAGCTAAGCAAGCACCCCTACTTCGCATTACTTACACCTCATGCCAGCTTTTAAAATTTTCCCAATCCTGGTTGCGATTTTCCCTTACCTAATTACGGTTTTCCCTGACCTCCAACGCCTCTTTAAATTTCCCTTACTTTACTATGACTCCCCTTATTTCTCTGACCAGTGTGAACGTGTGAACCTTGCGTTGCCCTCGAGCTGTCGACCGCACTCTCAGACTGTTATTGACTTGTCTGTAGTTAAAGAGCATTTTACACAGCAATAAAAAGTACTGTTATTATTTATGTAAGATTTTGTTCGTTATATTGACCAAGGGTCAGGGCGGGGAAGAACTGGACAGGGGAAGAACTGGACACCCCATATTTTACTTCAAATACCGTAGGCACAGGAATAACAACTATCAAAAGTTGTTCCGTGGCATCAGCGGTTCATTACACGACAGTTGTCAGGTCAGTACATACGGCAATTGAAGTAAAATGTGGGGTGTCCAGTTCTTCCCCTATCAAGTTTTTCCCCGCCCTGATCCTAAGCAGATGATTTTCAAGCTTTTGTTCGGTTATGGTCTCAAGCTGTCGCCCTCCAGGAAGGTTCGGGAGAGAATCGCAAGTCGTCGGCTGCCCCTTCCTGTTTTCCACCCTTTCCCAACTTTTCAAACCCCTCGCCCCCGACCCCTCAGGGTTGGGAAAGCGAGAAAACCGCCGGGGAAACTCTGACAGATTCCGAAGAACTTCCTAAGCTTACCAAAGGGTGACAGCTTCCGACAAAAAGCTTGAAATTCATCTGAAACGACACACAATAAATCCGGTATTGGGGGCAGGTTGAGGGGTCGGGGGCAACGGCTTTGGACCATGTGGGAAAGAGAGAGAAGGAAGGGGCAGCCAACAGAATCCGAAGCTTGTCGAGGGCGACAGTTTTAGACTTACACTGAATGGCATTCTCCGTGGCCTTGAGCGAGCCCACGGTGCAGCAAGTGCTTCCCAAGCGCCGTTGGGTGAGCTTACCAACCCTCGGCTGTTCAGGCGCTCTAAAGAGGACCCTGTTCAGAAACGCTGTGCCGCTTCACCCTCCCTCTTCTTGACTCCCATTGCGCACGTAGACCTCACCTCGAAAGCAAGGATCCCCCCGGCTCGGGTGCCGGACATTGAGCGCAGAGGTCAAAAGTGCCGGTTTTCAGGCCCCCTCAAAAAACCTCCAACTTTGACGCCTTACAGCTTCTGAACGGTTGGAGCTACGAACCTGGGCGTGTGCTCATTAGCTTTATTAGCTTTTTTTCTACAAGATGGCGTCAACGGATCGTGGGTAAAAAATATTTTTGACCGTTTCCCCAAAATTTGGGTATCTTTAGTAAAATTTGGTCGTTTTGGGTAAGTATTTCTCAAGATATCGGTCGTAGGTCAAATCCGTGACCATATTCTTGTTCCTTGGGCAATTTTACATAAGAATATTGATTTTCAGCCACTTAGCACCAAAAACCTCAGAGTAGTAAAGAAACTCCCAAATTAGGTAAAAAAAGTGGCAAATTTAGAAAACATTGGTTTTTTCGGCCAATAAATTTTTTAGCGACCTAATATTTTAGGATGTTTTTTCTTACCATAAGGGCATCTCAGAAAAAATTTTTGGTCAAAATCGGAGGGGGTCATGGGAAGGCGTTGCACGTATTAAATAAATTAGCTCAATAGAAATCATTAATCTGGATTCATCACATTCAAATTCATCTTAAATCTAGCTTCAATCTAAAAACTGGGACGAGTAGACTGAAACAGCTTCAGGTTGTTTGAAAGAGTGATGAGTTTGCTGTTTATAGTAGAACTTCCCCGCCTGGTCCTATCTCTCTTGGCACCAGTTGGTGGATTAATTTGAAGAAGAGTTCTATAAGAACAGAAAAGAATCGTTAATAATGCTGCTTCACAATGCGGCTGCACATGACATCAATAACAAGATACATACCTTTGACAAAATTCTAGGGTGACTTGACTTTCTTTGGGGTACTTGAGCCCATAGACAAAATAAAACAGAAAATAAATGAGGATAGCTTCTAAGAAACTTGGAGCTGACATGACCACAGCGTTCAAGAAAACCACCTGATGGTCTTCTGCATCAAAAATGGAGTTGCCTATAGACAGAGAAAATGAAATAAATTAGTTTTTGAAGATCAGGAAGTATTCACATGATTACAGAGATTCATTCGCAACTATGTGGAAACTTACCACGAACAATGATTATGGGGTTGAAGTTCGACTTGGACGCTGCTGCCAAGACATCAGCATCAGTAGCATTGAACTGCGGACAAAAAAAGCATGGTTAAATTTCACAATCTGAATCAAATGGGACTGGGAAGAAAATAAGACGAAAGATATACCTTAATAACCTGAAATAAAATAGCTGTATCTTCCTTGAAATATTTAAGAAGGAGTGGTATGAGAACCACAGAAAACGGAGCATCGCTCCGTTCCAAGGAGACTGCCGCATCTAATTGGTCCAGCAGCTTGTCAAGACCTGGAGGCACATTCACACGTTGCTTCCAAAAGTGATTAAGGTACTGGCAAATGTCTTTGGCATTGTGCCCCAGAGAAGTAAGAAATGTGTCCAACACATCCTTGTCAAGTAAATGACTGGCATGCTTATAAAAGCAGTGATGAGACAGTAGATGAGGCCAGCGTGACAGAACTCCTTTAAGGCTGGATATTGGACGCGCACCGACTATCTCACTTCTCTGAGTGGCATAAGTTTCCATGAGGAGCTTCTCAACTTCTGGTCCTTCACTGATGTCACTTAATCTTGAAAGTGCAAGTCGTTTCTGCTCTTGAGAGGCAGATGTTTCCCCTGGTTTCAAACCCGGATTGTGACGAACACACCCATAGTCATCTATCTTGCGATGTTTGGGATCGGATTCAACGTCATCAACCATTTCCTCATCAGCCATATTATCCCTTGAAGATCTTGCAGCACGTCTCTTCCGAGGAGTCTCCCCAGCTTCAATTCTTGACTTGCTTCTCAGATGATTCAGAGCATTGTAGACTGACGTCACAAGGGCTTCAAATCCAGTATCATGGACTAGGCCAACATAAGACCGATGAAACAACGGTTTGAGAAGCCCATCATCATAACTGAACAGGGCAGATACGTAAGATTGGCAAGTGGAAAATGTGTAGTTCCTCACACGTTTCCAAATGAAGTCAGACACATACTTTGAAGCTTCTCTGGCACCCCGCCGTTTCTTCAGGAGGATGTTTCGAGGTGGAGGGTCCATCTTGAGATCCTTCAAAATTGGGTCAAGTGTCTCCAGAAGCGGTCCCATTGGCAGTGGTGGGCACTTAGGTGGGGCAGGAGTCTGTGGAGAGGCAATTGGTTCCTGCAGTGTAACCTCATCATCTGAAAGAAGAGAAAACAATGGAATAAGAAAAAATGCATTTTCCCCAGAATCCCTTCTGTCCAAGTTCTGCTTCTAAACCAAACCAAGTGAAACTGTTCTGAGATGCGAAACACAGAGCTACAAAAAACTTTTAAAGGAAATGAAGTCTAGGTTAAGTTACAAACTATGCCTAACAAATCACCGTGGGCAAAGTACTTTAACAGAGCAGCACTTGTCAATGTACACAACACGTAAGTTTTGAAACAACACAGACCCAGGTAATCAAATGCGAACTTCTCAAATCAATGCACTGCTGCTCAGATGTGTTTCACTCCTCACACCCAGAGACGTAAAGAACAAATACAAAAACATACCTGCAGAACTGGATCCAGAGGAGTGATGAGTAGTCGTAGTCCAGAGTTGGTCTTTGGGAATAAGTACTAGAGTTAATAACTCAGGCTTGCGTGCCTCAGTGAGTTCCATTAAAATTTCATCCTCCTCAATCTCGAGACCTTCAGCCTCACCTGATGCCACACACAGCTGGAACGACACAAGACATTACAATAGTACAGAAGGTTTACTCAGATCCTAACCTAGTCAACATTGAGGCAGAACGAGATGCACGCCAAGGACCTAACCTATGCCAACAACTTACCTTATAGGAAGATGTGACTTCATCCAGGAGTTGGAATTTCTCTTTGGCTTTGGAAACAACATCCTCTACTGAAGATGCTGAAATAAACTTCTTGCCGGCGCCGCCGCCGCCTCCATCCTTGGTCACAACGACCAAAACCATGACGAACTGATTCCTGCAAGAAGGAAGGCGAGCATCAAGAACCCTGAACCGACCGAGTGGGACCATAAACACATCGCGTTTATCTTCAAACATCTATGGTAGTGGCAAACGGAGTAAACCGAACTTTACTGATAAGTTACAGCTAAGTTAGAGCCAAAATCAAAAACAGGCCACACCACGCCACACTATCACTTCACGTTCGTACCACGGAGGGCATCGCGCCGCAAGACTAACCTCTATCGTTCGCCGACCGCTGGTAAGAAAGAGTACGCTCGGGGAGCTCCGTCCGCTGTCCAAATTAAGACCAAAGAATGGCTGAAATTTCATTTTGACGGCTTTTATCTTCTAACCCTAGACCTACAAAATTTCAGGCAAGTTCCGTCACGCGTCGCTTCGCTTCGCTTCATTGAAGGCAGTGGGTGCACCGCAAAGCGGCAACCCTAAAATATAAACTTATGGCCAGCAGCTCTTTAGAGTTCCATGTTCGTAAAGTTGAAGGGATTCAAAGTTTGTTTAATTTTCCAGACAGTCATTTAAGAATTATTTTTTTCTCATAAATAACATTTTATTTCGTTTTATCTTTTTTTTTAACCTAAGTTTCATGTTGGCAGGTTGGTAACAGATCCCAGCTTCTCTTCTGCTAGCACCGGCTGATGTTTGTTTGGAAATAGTATTATTGAACAATGAAATTTTATCGAAACAAAATGAAAAGGTTTCGTTTAAATGTTTTGTCGCTGGCGCGCAAAGATTTCTTTGAGAGAGAGAAGAAAAGAAACGAACAATCGAAAGGGCACTGCCGTCTTACGGGATCAAATGAATCTGAAATTTACTTTCCCCAGTCAGTGAAGCTGTGAAGCTGTTCAAGCTTCAATACTTTAAGTGAGTCTCTGGACTATATCATGAGTGAACAAGGCACCAACGATTCCGGTGGATCTTCACAGCTCATGGGCTGTCACGAGGAATGGCCTGTTGAAGTAGCTGAGAGGAGTTTGAGTTCATCTTGCAGCGAAAGTGAGGTGTGTAGCTAACCTTTTGTTAGATTGAGCGTTATCAAGGAATGACAAGAGATTTTTATTTGACTCTGTTAAGTATTTAGAGCAGAGCAAGGCTCAGAGAAGCAAAGAATCAAACGTTAAAGAGCTAAGATTTAACAACAGTATGTAGCGTAGTTCTGACCGTGGGAAAGCCAAATTGGTAGTCACTGTTATATATGAGGTGCAAATTCTTACTTATAGACTTATGAACTGTTTTATCTTCTCACTCGCCCAATGTCATGACTCAAATTAACTGTCTCAATCAATAGAGTAAGAATATCATAAGTCTGACGAGCTTTCAGAAGTAGCACGTTATAAAGTCATTTGTGTAAGAGCTTTAACTATTTTAATCATTTTTCAGGGCGATGAAGTGGATCAGCTTAAACTGGAATTGGCACACTCACAATGGCACAATTCCTTGTACAGACAGACACTGTGTTCTGTGCCGGGAGGCTTGAAGGCATTTGAAGAGCACTTTCAAGCGAGTAAAGAAGAGAGAGTGCCAAGGCTTTGTTCGGACTGCGAGAAAGACAATCTCATACATCAACTGGCTGCTGTTTCTGTGCGGACTTCTCCTGTTTTCTGTGCTGGGTTGAGAAAGGTAAAGTAATTTGTTGACTTCTCGCTGAGTAGTAGATTCTCAAAATTGTTTTTGATGAGATTTTGTTTTATTTTGTTCATGCTGCAGAATAAACACCAAGTGAAGCGGAGGAGCCAGTCCAAATGAACATTGTTATCTTGTTGCTGAGCTTCATATTATGTGATATAAATTGGAAACCATTACATTACATGTTACAAATAAACAAGCATGGATACAGACTTTCATTTGCTTATCAGTGAATATTTTGGGCAACTATAACATCCTTTTCATTAAGTTTACCATGTTAGTTCTTTAAATGTAATTAGCAGTGTCACTGCTGAACAATCGCAATCAGAAATTTCAAGGCATAGATGATTTTTTTAAAAAAGTAGGTTTCTCAATTGCTGCAGCATCCATTCTAGCTCAAAGCATTTCATTTACTATTAAAAAGTTGTGTTCTCATGAGAACATGATAAATATAATCATATAAAGACTAAATGAAAAACTGGTGCATTCCTGAGAAGTGACGCCAATACAGGGAAAGAAAGGAAGGGAAAAGTTAAAGCTTAAGTTGTTTTATTGTCAATTTTACTTTACTTCCAAAACAAGTCAAAACCTAATGTTACATTTGAACATGGGTACAAATTATTTACAAGACAAAACAGAAGGTAAATCTAGCAATAGATAGCATGCTTCAACTTAACAAATGTAGATCCAGATACCTTGTATTCTCGAGGAACACAGTGAGTCAATAAAGATGAATGGGAAATGCATTCATATCCCTTCCTTCCCTCCAGCCTAAACACACGTGTAGGGGATACAAATGTAGTGCTGAAAACTTCTACGACAAAAAACACTTGGTTATTGTCATCATACAAGCATAAGCATATTCTGCCAATTTCCACATCACACTGATAGTGAGCTTGTCGTAATACAACCAAAGAGCCCTTCTTGTAAGTAGTTCCTCGCACAACGACAGAAGGACACTCCTGAATATGGTTTGATGCAACAGAATGTTGCACAGCATGGACAATTTCTGGAGCATACATGCATACATAAAATGTTGAAGAGTTAGTGATTTCCACTTCACATTGCAGCTGGGCTCCAGTTCTAAGGAAAGCCTGAAAAAGCTCATGTTTCACAGTAAGAGACTTCAATACATTAATAAAATTTTTAGAGAAACGAATAGTTCGTTTGAAAAACTGATGCTTATGTTCAAACCTAAGTGTAAACACCTTTGACAAGGGCCCAAAAATCATAATCAGTTCTGCAGCATGGCTCAAGTAGTGGTGCTTGGGCCTCAAGGGAACATAAGGAAACTCTTAAATCTAGATATTCATGAATCAAGTCATCTAAGTAGGGCAAAGAGGAAATATGGACCTCTGGGGCCAGAAGAAGCTCCATTATTTCAACTAGCAACACATAGTTCTTCCAGACTGGATCCTCCCATTTCTCATGCCAGTCATCTACTAAATCAAGCACTATAAGAGGAAACAGTTTTAGAAAGGTCCATATTTGGACAGCACCACCAGCAATCTTTTCAGCTCGAAATGTGTAAGGCTTCGGTTGGTCACGACGATCCTCACTAGAGTAGGGAAATGAAGCAGTTTTGGCATTGAGCTGTTCAGTTGTGAACCAGCCATTACAAATAAAATAGTAGACAAACCATGCCATATCAACTGCTGCCACTCCTTCGTGGAGGTCGTGGGCCAGGCATGGGGGAAGACCAGGATTACAAACATGGAAGTGCTCTAGCTCATTAAAAATACTGTTGAGTTTCACACCCATTCTGGTGTTTCGATGCCTTCCCTGCAAACATTGATTGTACACTTCAGGCGTTCGGGCTGGGAACTTCAAATGATGACCTCCATCGGAATGAAATGATGGATTATCTATTGTACAGTACCTACAAAAGTAGCGAGTTTTAGAAAAGCTCATGAGAAAACCACCAAGGCAATGGCTGCCCAGATTGTCACCAGTTACAAACACTAGTCCAGCTTTGACATTCTGACCAATACCAATATCTACACCTTCTCTTTCAAGCTTTTTCAGGTCATCTATAATTGGTCTGAAAAGTTTCTCGTGATCATAGTCCTTTTCCTTACATAAACCAATCAGAAAAATATTATTGACTTTAGACCGCATGTAATCTGGCATGTTTCCTATGGTTAAATAAATACCAATAGTCTTGTGTTTGCCTTTTGCCGGTCCTATGGCATGGACTAGCTCGAAGGCATCTTGATACAAAATCAATTTGATGCTCTTCTCATTGTCTTTAAAGAAAGGGTTATCTTTGTAACACTTTCCATCAGTGAAGTCTTTCAGAACATTAGGATCAGATTGACTTGGGGGATCTAAACTTACAGAATAAGACTTACTTTTAAATATACGTTTCAAAGTTTTGATTATAGAAACATAATAGAAAAAATTGCCATTCTTCAATCTCTTTTTTCTGGGATTTACATACAGAAAGTTGTCCAAATAATACTTGTTTCTAGTATATTCTGTTCTCAAAGCCTTCAGATGCTTCCTATGAACATCGAACACCTCATTGACAATCATTTCAGTAGTTTCAGGACTAATATTTTCACGAGAAAGTTTTTTTCTAAGTTTATCAGAAATGGCATTAAAAGTATCCTCATGAAGAGTTTGAAGCTCTTTGGCAATATACAGAACTGTAGATGCAGGCAGAAGATATTGAAATTCTAACTTCATGAAAAACTGAGCCAAGTTGTCCAAAAGAAGTTTGCCTTCATCTACTAACTCTGCCACTGGTGGCAGTGGACCATCAACTATTGGCAAGTCATCCAATGAATCACAATTATCTACATTTAATACAGCTTCAACCACATCGGGTACAACATCGGGTACATCGGGTACATCGGGTACAACTCTGCTGAGAGTACCAGCTCTATGACTTCTCGATACATGTACACCAAAATTATTGCTACACTTGAAGACTCGATTGCAATCAGGAAATGGACAAGGAGTTGTTGCTCCAGAGTTCATATGACCCTTCAGATGTTTAGAAAGTTCTTTGAAAGAGTCAAGCTCTTTCTTACATACCAGCAGCGTACACTCAAATTTCCCAAAAGCATTAGATACCAACTGGGAGCGGTTCGGATTGTCTTTTGACAACCTCACATCAAGAGAGTGGTGACGATATAGATGAGTTCTCAAGTTGATCTCAGATTTGAATACATCCCGACATGAAGTAATGCAGCACGGGAAAATTGCAGTGATATGACGATGTAGTTTCAGGTGTGAAAAATATGCTGAGACATTTGAGAATTGGCTGGTACAGAAGCGACAAACCAATGTGACAGGATCTGCAAAACATATTTAAAAAATGAATTAACTTCCAAATAACATCATGTGTGACACTTCTTTACGAGACAAGCTTGATTCAAAGGCTTACCCATGGCTTTGCTGAAATAGGCCCGGTTGGTGAAATCGCAAGCTTACTGTTCAATACAGCATTGTTTTAGTTCGATAAGAGTAAGGTCCACAAAAAACCTAACCGAAATAAAGGTTTAAAAATTATTAACAAAAGTGACAGGTTAGATTAAATTGAAACATAAGTTGAACTTAATTCAGATATTTTGAAAAGAAGAACCAAAGAAGGCCTAATTGAGAATAATCGAATTTAATCGATATCAATAGATTGGACTAAATAGACAGAAAATTTCTTACCGAGAGAGCATGGCCAAAAATACAGGCTCCAAATGTGAATCAGAGGAATCGTCAAAACTTAAAACCGTTGACTGGAGAGAAGTTGCAGCCATTGTTGGGTCCCAGTAAAATCCTGGAGAAACAAAACGGGTTATCAGTCACATCCAAAGGAAGAAGCAAAAGAGAAAAATCCAACTCAATTGATATGAATAGATTAGACTAAATAGACACTTAATTACTTACACAGAGATGATGACCAAAGAAACAGGCTCCAAATGTGAATCAGAGGAATCGTCAAAACTTAAAACCGTTGACTGGAGAGAAGTTCCAGCCATTGTTGGGTCCCAGTAAAATCCTGGAGAAACAAAATGGGTTATCAGTCACATCCAAAGGAAGAAGCAAAAGAGAAAAAATTGATATGAATAGATTAGACTAAATAGACACATAATTACTTACACAGAGATGATGACTAAAGAAACAGGCTCCAAATGTGAATCAGTGGAATCGTCAAAACCTAAAACCGTCGCCTGGAGGCAAGTTAACCATCAATTGGTCCCAGTAAAATCCTGCAGAAACAAAGTTTTCAGTTACTTCCAAAAGAACTAAACAAAGCATCATTGAGAAAAAAATCCTATTCAATCCAGAACTGATTGGACGGATTAGACAAAAATCACTTGCTCAGCGAGCAATGCCAATACAGTCTGCGCATGAGTGTTAAAATGGAAGCATCAAAACTGAAAACTGTAGACTAAACACAAGTTGTACCCAACGATTGAGTGAGTCCAGGCAAAATGCTGATGAAACAGTACGAGTAATAAATTTGCTAAAACTAGAAAGATAACCCTAGAGTGACACACAAATACTCACTCAGAACATAACCCCAACTTGATGAGGCATGTAAGCAGACACCAAAACCTCCAGTAACGATGCCATGTCAAACAGTCCCTGCAGGGCCTGAACAGACAGAGGGGATTCTCAAACCATCCACAATATTACAACAAGACAAGACTGAATTAGGAACATGACACGTTCAGCATGTGAGGCAGTACAAAACTTACATGCAACACCAACATGATTTCCCACAGGCCAGTGGTAGGCAGTGGCTGAGGAGGCTGGGGCTGGACCAGGCTGGACCACGAGCACGAGAGAGAGTGAGAGAGACGGTGTGTGGTGTGTGTGGTTTTCTGGCCATGAGCCAACACGTGTCATATGGCCAGGGTTTTCAGGCGACGAAGGGAGAGGGGGAGGGGGTGGTATGAAAAATTTTGAATGCGGGTAAAGGAACGAGAACAAGCCCACGAACTTTCAAAACCAAGAAATGAGAGTTCATAGCCGTGCCGATGATGTTTCATAGTCTTATTGGACATTTCACGCCACAATAATGATCTTTCATGGCGCTACTGAGTTATCATGGAGATGTTTTGATACTTCAGGTCACATTAATGACTTTTCATTGCGGAACTGTTTTTTCATTGAGATGCTTTGACATTTCATGTCGCAATGGTGACTTTTCAATGCGGCACTGATTTTTCATTGGTGCGTTTTGACTTTTCATGAAGTTTACAATAACAGTTCATTAGATTTATGAAATTTCAATGTCACTATGAAATCTCATGGCGACAATGAATTATCAGAACAGATTGGTAATGAAATTTCAAAGCATTTTTAACAGTGTAGCGCCAGGCGGATTGAAGGAACAGGCAGCGAGACATGCCTGCCAAGCGTGCACTTACTAGTGCATACATGCCGCCGTGTACACGCTTTCTGATGCAGGAAACTCCCTACACACTAAATACAAGGTAGGTTTACGCCAGACCGCGTCTTGTCGTAACAGGCTTCGCGATGTCTCGCGGCCTGTCCCTCCAATCCGCGCCTGGCGTACCTACCTTGGCCTGCGGCGCTAGCCTGCCTTCGGCAGGCATTGGCTTCTCCATCGTCGGTTCGGGCCACATGCGCGCTGCGCAAGGCCGAAAAACAGAATCTCTCTCTCTCTCCATCGTCGGTTACTTGTTACGTGTTGCATGCTGGGGGGGTCTTAATTCTAGATAGAGTTGCTTCATCTACAGATAACGCGATCTTGACCCTTGTCACTTTTTAACTTGTCGAGGCTGGGGGGCGAGCCCCCCAGACCCCCCATTCTTCAAGACAGAGGTGATCTACCTGCAGGAAACTCGATTTTTCGCCGTTTTTTAGGTGTTTTTCGGCTATAAAAACTGAACCAGTGGAGCTAGGATAGTGACATTTTGCGTGTGCCGAGCCAAGGACATACCCAAAAAGTGTGCAAAATCTCATTGAGATCGGCCGAGCCGTTCAGGAGGAGTAGTGCGGACACACAGACAAACAGACAGACAGGAAAAACTTTTCAACACCACTGGAGTAACAGGCTTCGCTATCGCTCAGCCAATCATGGGACTTCTTTTGTCCTACGATTTATGCAATTTTAAGCACATCCGACGCTGATGCAATTTTGTTCCCGTCTGGCGACACATTTTGTCCGACGCTCGCTGCAAGTTGTACATTCAGTAGACAGTTCCGCCTGGCGGACATAAAATTGCATCACCACCGGATGTGCTTAAAATTGCATTATTCATGGTACAAAAAACAGTCCCATGACATTTAGTGTGTATCCCTTATGCACTAGATTAATGCTTCAGTTAGCGTGTATATAGCATGTATGCACTTAGTAAATGCATGCTTGGCAGGCATGCGCTAGCTAGAGCGTGCTTGCAGGCATGCTCCACTTAGAGCATACGATGTACGCTCTTCGATTTATAGATATGCTTCCAAGCACCCTCTTATTAACAGCATGCTTGCTAGGCTCACGCTCAAATAGAGTGTACATTGCATGTCCACGCTAAATAAGGGTGTACATTGCATGCACACGCTAAACACTGTGCGAAAAAAACACAGTAAATCCCGTTAATTTTTTTGCCGGGATTTACTGTAGTTCAGGACACAGTATTTACTGTGCCTGGTTACAGCATTTACTGTAGTACAGTAGATCCTGTAAAAAAAAGTACAGTAAATCCTGTACTCAGAACTACAGTGACAGCTGTACTAATCACTACAGGATTTACTGTGATTTTTTCCCACAGTGAATGAGAGTGTACCTGGCAAGTGCACGTAAACTGGCACATGCTTTTATAGGACTTATCTAGTGTAGCGTGTATTTGCAATGTACACTCTTATTTGGCGTGTACGCCAGGCATACTCTACTTTAGCGTGTGCCTGGCACGTATGCTGTAACTAAGAGTGCGCTTGGAAGCATGATTAATAAGAGTGTGCTATGTACCCACTTCAGTTTGCAAAGTACTCGTGTTTAGCTTTTCCAAGCTCGGCCACGAATGGGTCTCGGGCACAAACATCAAGGCGCTCCGGATGCAGCGCATCTGCCCGTATGTGCCCGTACTTGCCCGCTCTAGCCCGCATCTGCCCGTACTTGCCCGCATGCGGGTTCGAATCTCAACCCGCCTTCGGATGATGCGCCCGTACCTGCCCGTGCTGTGCCCGTGCTGAGCCCGCACACGCCCGTGCTGTGCCCAGATTTGCTCAGGCTGTGCCCGCAACGGGCGCGAAATCTTTTTGTCTGAGGTAGGCCTGCCCGTCAGGCCGGGCTGCGCTGCGTGGCTCCCACTGCCTACCTGGCAGGCGCTTTACCACGATTGAATGTACCCGGTTTGTGGTTCGGCATTCCACGACGAAGGGCAGCACCTCCGCCAGTGCCAGGGTGTGTGTGTGTGGAATGGCCCTAGCCACGCCGGCTCACCACTTAAGGGGGAAAATAGGGAAATAGTGGTTTGCAGAGGCCCACGCGAATCGCTCGTTCTCCTAAACGAAGAATAATACTTTGGGTGGTTGAGCTTTTCTTTTAGATGATAAATAAAGGTAGATTTTGGAATTTTTTGAGAGATTTAAAAATATGGGTTTTTGAGATATCACACTTTAGAAGTTACACCTTTTTTGAAGTTTCAATTATTTTTTTTAAGAAAACCCAAAGAAATATATTCTTGTGTAGTTGTTTCTCCTCTTTCCAATGGTGGTCTCAGATTTGAGGTACGACGAACGGTTGCCGAGATAATTGTATTTTAGTGCACCCATGTCGTCATGTATGTGAAAAACTTCATCAGGCCGTAGTTCGGAGCCCGGTGCAGATTTCGAAAAACTGAGTTGGGGTCTTCGAATGGTACCATGAGGCCAACAATCGACCACTATGGCGATGGCCTCCGACAAGTTGATGGTCCGAGCCCTGTCGAGTTGGCATGGAATGACCCAATTACGAAACTCCGTCAGTGTCGCCCTCCACTTGTTGTTGGTCGAAAGGAAAGACTGGTTGGGTACCAATTTGGATGACAATAGCTCCGATGTGAGAGGCCTGCCGTGAACTTGTGAAAGGGGGCTGCAAGGGCGGATGCAGTAGTAATCAATGTCGTTGGAGAAAAACCTTGGTTGCACCATTCATTTTCATGTTAAACCCCTTTCTCTCGTATTTAGGGTTAAGTTAAAATATTTAGAAAGGCTTATGAGTGTACAAGGGAACTGAAATCTCATGCTCTTTCCATCCGTGCAAAGCATTACCATCACTGTCAACGGCCTAGTTTGCAGGGTCAGCCGATGCGGATCGGAATCAGTTTCGGGTCCCTGCCATGCCCTCCGCGTTTAGAGACGGCCCCTTCAGTCAGGTCCTGACTCGTCGCAACAAAGGGGCACGCTGCTGGGCGATAGCCGGCCAAGCTGCGCCGGCTACCCGAGACGAGCGACGCGATCAGCAGAGGGTGGACTCCCCCCCCCCTCCCCATCCCTCTTGCCCGTCGCCTAGCCCGGACCGCCGACCGCGCCGCCACCGGCTCTGCCTCCACCCCGCCGCCCGCTCCCCTCCCCTCCCGTCCCTGCGCGCGCCAGTGCCAGTTGTGTCTGTGACTCGGAGCGGTGAACAGCAGTGCAGCAGCCAGCGGTGTCGTGTAGCAGCCCAGCACGCCGCTTCGTCGGGCGTTTGGCCACGTTCCGCAACAAACAGGAAGTTCGAACCTGCATGGTGCGAGGTCCCTTGGAAGAATGTCGGATTTCCCGGTATCGCAAATGGGGTGAGTTACAATGCAGCGGACTGTTTGAGCGATAGCTCTCATTTTAATGAGCATTGTGTCACGCTCCTTTGAATGCGAACCAGCCATTTAGGAGATTTCTCACATCCAAACCAACGCGACAGAATGCTCAAATGAGGGCGATATTTTTCGCTGTCGTCCCCACTCTACTCAGGAATCCTCGACTTCCGGTTTAGAGATCACTGCCAAGCCAGTGGTAAGTTTGCTTGCCACAACATTGGCAAGCCGTTTTGACACCCGAAAATTCGCAAACTGCTTGCCCACGTTTGGCAAGTTTATAAAGATTGCAGGTCAAAGGATTCCACATTTTGGCAATCAAAACGGCTTGACAAATTTGAAGCGATCAAAGTCACCACTAAGTGCAGTGATTCGTCAAAGACAAATTTTGAGCGCGGTGCATGCAGGCGATTTCGTATACGATGGGGTACTCCGGAGAAGAGCTGGACCGGAAGTGGAGAAGAATTCAAGAAGTACTACAAACGCCGGACTTGTATGAGAATTTAACTCTGCAGAAGCGGCAGAACGGCGACGCAGGCACTCATTCTCACCAATTTCGCACACTTTGTTTTTCTTGCTTTCTTTTCAACTTTCGTTCCATTTCTTCCCCGAAGTATCCTAGTTGCTGTACGGGTCCCTTCGCCTGCACTGGCAGGCTCTGACGATGAACGTAAACAGATTATATTGGAAACTAACAGGCACTTGCAACGAATTCCTGGACCGGAAGTCATGGATGGAAATAAGAAAAGCCGCCTGTGGGCAGACTTACTATATTTCCTCTTTCGTTTCCGGTCTAGGGTTGATACAATGTTCTATAGGGCACTCCACTGAATCTCGAAACGGAAGTTGATGAACAGAAGTTAGGCTTTAAAACACGTTCTGCGCATGTGCGCCGGGTGATGCAGGTACTGCAGGCACTCTGTTAGGACTTCCTTTGTTCATCTCGGGAACATAGGAAGTGGTTTTAAGGAGAGGCACAAGAAGCATTGGTAACAGGTTCCTAAATTCTTTTATCAACTATTTGTGATCAGGGCCTATTTCAAGTTTTGAATTATCCTCTACGTTAAAGAAAGAAATTTCTTAGGCCTTGAGACACTTCTAGCTGGGCCTAAAGTGAAGAACAAGGAGAAGAACATAGACCGGAAACAGTACAAGAAATCGTTCTTTTTCGGGGGTTTTGGCAGGTTCAAATCAAATTGCATTATGAAAATAAGCTACCTTCAATGTTTGGATAGAGGATTAACATTCGTCATCAAGAAATAAGAGTAATTTGGCAACTGTTTCCGGCTTATGTTCTTCTTCTTGTTCCTGACTCCAGACGACCCTGATAGTAGTGTCCATTGCTAACCCTCTTGGCTGCTGCTCTGTCGTAGGTCATTTGACGTCAGCACATTTTAGGACGTTTATGCTGCGTTACTGTAGCGCTTGTAAGAAGCTGGTCCCGGTGTTCACTATTCCTCCCCTCCATAGTGGGATTTTTGAGTCCTCAACCGGAAGTTGTAAAATAAATTAGTGTCTTTGCGTGCGTAGTCTCACTCTTCTGTGTTTACAAGGTAGGTGTACGCCAGACCGTGTCTTGTAACAGGCTGCGCGATGCTGCGCCAGTTACGACAATCCACGCCTGGCGTTACACCTACCTTGGCCTGCGGCGCTTTCCTGCCTTCGGCAGGCTAAGTTTCTTTTCCAGGCATCCGCATACCAATTTGCGTGATTGAAGGTCAAAACAGCATTTGATTTCGTGCCTAGGGCTGCATTGGCCTGACATTTTAACTTGTCGAGGCTGGGGAGCTCCGCCCCCCAGACCCCCTTTCTTCAAGACAGAAGTGGTCTGCCTGCAGAAAACTCGATTTTTCGCCGTTTTTTAGGTGTTTTTCGGCTATAAAAACCGAACCAGTCGAGCTAGTATAGTGACATTTTGCGTGTGCCGAGCCAAGGACATACCCAAAAAGTGTGCAAAATCTCACCGAGATCGGCCGAGCCGTTCAGGAGGAGTAGCGCGGACACACACACATACGCACGCAGACAGGAAAAGTTTTCCAACCCCACCTGAGTAACAGGCTTCGCTATCGCTCAGCCAATAATGAACTAATTTAAAAATCAATAACATTTTTATTGCATTAGTAGCGCCATGAAAAAGTTATTGCATCATAAGTGCAATAATTATTGTATTGCATTGGCGCATTTATCGCATTATTAGCGTAGTTATCATTTTATGGCACCAAAACTGTGATAATCTGGGCCCAGATCGGACAAAACCTAAGGGACTTATTGAATTTTTAGTGCGATAATTTTTTATTGCTGCCACAGATGCGATAATTTGAAGGAATCACACTTGCCTTTTTATCGCAGCAAATTGTATGAAACTTATCACATTAGAAATACCAGTGTTGCAAAAAGGAAAATATATGGAAAATATGTGTCAATATATGACTCCATATATGTTTCATGCATTGTCAATATACAGTAATTGTATCTTGCTCAATATATTGCAAATTATCTTGCGCAATACGTGGTTTATATTTGGGGGTATATCTTAGTGCCCGTTAATATATAATGCATATATTTCCCAATATAATATTATCTTCGCGAAATGTATGTTTCAATATCTGACACGGTGCCCGTCGTGCGATGGGGCAGGGTGAGCAGGGCATGCCCTGCAGACTTTTCAAGTAACTTTTCTTAAAATCTTGGCACTCAATGTTCAAATGCGGCCATATTTCTCAACATGATTTTATCTTGTAAAATATATTGACGCCTTATATTGAGCAGGAGAAAGGTTCTTTTCTATGCGTTTAAGTCTCCAAGAAATTTTGAGAAATCCTGTTTAACAAGTTAACTGGAACAGTTCGGAAATTTTAAACGTCTCTTTTGGGTGTAGCGCGAAAAGTTCTTCTAGGCGACCTCGTTAGACCTGCAATTGGAAGTCCTCGCAAGGCGAAGTTTACAGTCTTTTATGATCGTAAAGGAAGCCTCTGAGTCGTCACAGTCCATGGTGTGTTCACACGATATATTGCCTACACATGGAGCAATGTATGAATTTTATATGTTTGCCACATATTTTTTATATCGGAAAAGTATCTTGCTGAATTATCTTTTCCACATATGACATCAATACATGTTGGGCCATATATTTTGTCCATATACTGCCCATATATTTTCCATTTTGCAAGGGACACTCGTCTCCTGCAAAGAGAGTGGATCCCTGAAATCACGTACGACTTTTGACTGTTCTGCCGAGCTCCGGTCGGTGTTTCTGGTGTTTATTTGTCACTTCCGGTTTCGATCTTTCGATGCTGGTCTTTTGTAACCCTGTTGCCTGAGCCTGAACGCGTCCCTCCAGGGGTGAGGATATTTCGATGTCAGATAATATTATCTGACGCTCAGTTCAACATGCTGTCTCTGGAATTCAGCTCCAATTTTGACGTTTGGCGGTGTGCTTGAAACTCCGCTTGTTGTGCATAGAGGTCTAAAGTAGCATACCCACCAAATGTCATGGGACTTTTTTTGTCCCATGAATAATGCAATTCTAAGCACATCCGGTGGTGCTGCAATTTTTTTGTCCGCCAGGCGGGACAAATTGTAATTGCATAAATCGTGGGACAAAAAAAAACCCTTATAAAAATTATTTGCTCCGAGATCTGTCCGAGCGGGGTTCCAGCCCGAAAGAGGTCCGTCGGGCTAGTCCGACGAAGCTCCAGAATGTTCCCAAATCGGCAACTTTACGGATGTGTCCGAGAACCGAAATGCGGGCTGGTTTCGGACTGTCCGAGTCTCGGTTCCGAAAAAAAATCCGACGGCGGTAAGCCAGAGGCAAACCGTATTCGAACCCTCGCTTCCTACCTTCCTCTCTGTCTTTGCACACCAGTGCTGACGTCGGAGCCAACTGAGCTAACCCGACAGATGAGGACTGGGGGCTCCGGTGAGCCTCTTCACTGACTCTGCGCTGCGCTCTCCGCTCCGCTCCTTCCTCTGGGCGCTGGGAGGCGCGATTTTCAAGATAGAAGAGTGGGGATTTTTCAAGAAGACCTCGAATTTAAAATATTTTACGTCCAACACGTTTTCTTATGCATACCTGTATTTAAAGTTTCATGTTTCTCCGGTTGTACGAAACAATTTAAATTAATTGACTGAATGCATGCAATTTAAACCACGTTTTGTGGTATTTGTTTCGGCACATAGTAACGACAAAAAATTGCTGTATTTCCAATAAATTTTTAATTCTAAATTTCCTTACGAAAGGCGAATGTTTGAGATTGAACATTGCGGAATCACTTCGACACACCTCAACTGTAGCTTTGCTAAAGGAACATTTGTCTAAGTCCCAAAGCGAGGGGGAAACGGTACAGAGTTCCGAAAACAGTCCGGAGGGGAGACTTTCCTCGGACGTATTCCGGGTAAGTCCGCTGCCCCGGACTCCCGGCGGACCGACCCGGACTTTCCAGGGAGTCCCGGACACATATCGGTCTGGCCCGTCCGAACAGCGGCCCCTTCGCGGACTAACCACGGAATCGTCCGGAGGCATTCGGACGCTTCTGGGGACAGCCCGAGGTGGCGGGGGCTCTTTCGGACGGCTGGCGGCAAGATTTCGGAACAATTCGTTTCTACACGGGAAAGTCCCAAGACATTTAGTCTGTAGCTTTCTCAAGATTTTTTTCTCTGCATTGCTCCTCGTGTATTTCCAAAATTAACTAGTTCACTGAGAATCCAAACGCTATGAGTATAGCGTCAATTGGTGCAATGCAAAAGCATTGCACATGAAGTGCAATGCCTCCCAATTCCCATGCATTAGCATAGGGCATTTTCGGGAAGCATTGCACCTAAGGTGCAATATGGCTGTGGCATTGCACGTAAGGTGCAATATCTCAGCGCATTGCACCATACGTGCTATACTCATAGCGTTTGGAATCTCAGTGTTTTGATAGCTACTTTGTTTTGTATGTTCTACTTGGAGAGCTAAAAGCTCCGGACTTGACAGACGCTCGGGTCTACTCCTGTTCAGCGACGCAGGAGCTCAAAACGCGTCTCGAGTTTTGGCCGCCGCAGCTGGTCTTCTGTCCCACTGTGTAGCGAGGGGGAATACTGCGAATCAGGGAATGTGACGTCACGTTCGTTCAAACGTGAATCATGTCACGTTCCTTTGAATACTGTGTCACATTCGTTTTGATGTGAGCCAGCCTCGTCGAGGCCCGGGGCCAGCCGATTCACGTTCAAACGAATGTGACACAGTATTCAAACGACCGTGACACGATTCACGTTTAAACGAAAGTGACGTCACAGTCCCTTATTCCCAGTGAAAGCACTCGCGTAACAATCGGGTCACTATGTCTGTAATAGCACGCGTAATAGTGTGCATAATAGTAGCGTAATAGCCAAAATTCTCCAAATTTGATTCAGTTTAGGATTTTTCTTGGTCTGTTTTCAGCTAAATCCTTTTAATTTGGAGGCGTAATAGAGCGCAATAGACGTAATAGTCGGGTCCGCAAGTTTTGAAGTGATTTCCCTTCGGCGTGGAGTGTACTTTAGCCCCGTTGCCTGCAGGACGGTGTCGCTGCTGGACGACGACGGGGACGCCCTCTTCACGGTCGGGGCGGAGTGCGGCGGCGCGCCGTGCCGCGTGGCCGTGGACCGCGCCGGCCGAGCGCAGCCCATCATGCGCCTCGTGGCGCAGCGCCCCGGGGAGCTGCGCATCAAGATAGAGAACCCCAACGCCTACGGGTCTGCCTACTTCATGATCCGTCGCCTGGAGGACAACAGCTGTCGGTAAGTAGCTTCGTTTCAATGTGAAGGGGACGTATTTCATTCGTGTCCACTGTGAAGCAGATGCTTCGTAGACGGTTTTGAGCGCGGAATGTACCATGTACTCAACGCAAGATTCAACAAATGTGACGTTTAAGTCGTTGGAATGTGAATTTTGTCACGTTCGTTTGAATATGATGTCAGCTTTGAGTCGGGCATGTTAAAAAGTACGGAACGTCCGTGCTAGTAACCGGTTTCAAGTTCACTGTCAGTCTCGTATTGACCATTTATCTCTTGCCATAAAGTTTTTCGTGCAAACGCAATATGTGCTATTTTCTTTTTAGCTATGCACCATTTTGCTCATTGTATAATGTATTTAGTCCATTAAACCAGACTTTTTGTCATTTGCAACGTACTTTTCAATTTCTAAATGATCTATTGACACTCTTATCTTTAAAACGATCAAAATTGTGCATAACTAAGGAGAAAATAGTACATTTTATGTTTTCTTAAAAACGTAATAAGGAAGAGAAAAAAACTCCATATACGTCTGAGAGTGTATGGTGGTGTATGGAATTTCCGTAATGAGCAAGAACGGACGGTCCAGGCAAATCATCAACTTCTCACTGTTAACCCTACAAAAAAAACTCCTCTTTGTAATTCAAAGAAAACAGTGGCTTCGCAGCCTACGAAGAAAATCGTGTGCAATACGAACAATTTTTTGTTATCCAAAGAAACACTCTAAAAAGCCGTTACAAGCGATTTCCTTCCTGCTGGGAAGCCGCCGTTTTCTTCGTATTACAAAGAGCAGCCCTTTCACTGTTATTGAAACTGCGATAACAACTGTCTATATTTTGCAATTAAAAAAAACTTGTCACGTTTTTTTTTTGCTATGATGACAACTAAATATCTGCATTAAAAAAATCTATAGCTAAATTTTGCAATAAAGCATCACATTTTTGCGATAATGACTACAAAGAAAATGCTATAAAAAGTTATCGCAGAAAAAAATGGCATAAAAGTTACTACAAAACGCTCTGTTATCGCAAAAATTTGGATAGTTTTTCGTGCAAACGCAATATGTGCTATTTCTTTTAGCTATGCACCATTTTGCTCATTGTATAATGTATTAGTCCATAAACCAGACTTTTTGTCATTTGCAACGTACTTTTCAATTTCTAAATGATCTATTGACACTCTTTTCTTTAAAACGATCAATTGTGCATAACTAAGGAGAAAATAGTACATTTTATGTTTTCTTAAAACGTATAGGAAGAGAAAAAAACTCCATTACGTCCTGAGAGTGTATGGTGGTGTATGGAATTTCCGTAATGAGCAGAACGGACGGTCCAGGCAAATCATCAACTTCTCACTGTTAACCCTACAAAAAAAACTCCTCTTTGTAATTCAAAAAAACAGGGCTTCGCAGCCTACGAAGAAAATCGTGTGTAATACGACAATTTTTTGTATCCAAAGTAAACCTCTAAAAGCCGTTACAAGCGATTTTCCTGCTGGAAGCCGCTTTTCTCGTATTAAAGAGCAGCCCTTCACTGTTATTGAAACTGCGATAACAATGTCTTATTTTGCAATTAAAAAAACTTGCACGTTTTTTTTTGCCTTGATGACAACTAAATATCTGCATTAAAAATCTATAGCTAAATTTGCAATAAAGCATCACATTTTTGCGATAATGACTACAAAAAAATGCTATAAAAAGTTATCGCAGAGAAAAAATGGCTAATTTCGGACTACAAAACGCTCGTATCGCCAAAATTGTGGAGTGGTTATTTCAAAAATGAAACAATTATCGCACTGCGCAGGGTGTTGATATGTAGGGAATCTGAAACTCGGTTTATCGAAAAATTTGTGTAAATTATCGCAAATGAAGACAGTGGGATATGCCCCCATTACGGAAACGGGGTTTTCGGATCACTCGTGTACATTTGACAACTCTGTCATCAGGAAGCAAGAGCCACAAGCACACTTGGATGGCTTTTTGCGCATATACCTTATACCTCTAAATCACCGTAGCGTAAACAATAGCAAACTTAAGAGTAGAGTGTTTGATTTAAGCTTTTACTCAGAGTCCGACCAAGCGTATAAACAATATGGGCTGGCAGCCGAAACTGTAATGGCGGTTCTGGGTGATTTTTGAATGAGTGAGGCACAGCTAAGGCGATGCCTCTGACAATTTTCATCTCTGGTCAAAAGCGGGTTTGATCGGCCAAAACTGACAATTCCCTTGACTTCCCTAAGGGTAATTTCGCAAGAACACAACAACTGCCTCACGGCTCAGCGCGCATGAGTGGGACGTCCCCGGTGAAACTTTCAACGCCGGCTCGACCAAGACTGAAGCTCGCTTAAGGTCTATGTATTATCCATACACTATCATTGCAACAGCGGTTTATATCCCGTGTACTTGACTTTCATAGAAAAAACCAAACATCAATTTTCTTTCATGTACATATCCTACCTCAATGTCAAGGACTGTTTTGTGACTAATTTTTTCATGTGACATGAGAGTTGGACTTAGCGAATGGCTGCATAGCTCGCCGGTTTACTACAATTGAAATGTAAGGTTTTCCAGTGAGCCCATATCTTCCTAACCGCACATACGACACGACTGCTTGCTTTTCATGTGCATGTATGTAATCGTATGTAATCTTAAAGAGGGAGATTTACGATTCATTTACGCGTTAAGTATGGCCCGAGTTGCATATAAAAGCTTTTCGGTCAAATTTTTAAAAATAAGCCGCCTTCTAAACAGTTCCACTAGTTCGGCGTACTCTCCCTGAAACCGAACTATTATTTCAAGTTCAAAACCATGACTTCAAATTATGTAAGAATGACCACCCCTACCATACCTCCACATCTAAGCCCTTACGAATTTCTCATATAATCATGTAAGCACTATAGAAAGAGGCAACGATCGATTTTGAGACCAAAATCAGAACGAAAAGTCGTTTTTTCCGCGGGTGTCCGAAATTACCCCAAAACACGGGGTAACTTCGGACACTGCTTCGGACCCTCCACTGTGAAAACGGTGAGGCGCAGATATTTGAAATTAGCGCCAAATCGAAGCTGAAGGTGGGTAGATGATAAATTTTAACCCTCAAGTCCATGACAACACCACAACTTCCACAATTTCAAAAAAAACTCAAAAGTGTCCGAAGTTACCCCGTTTCACGGTACAATGTACCATTTTTTTTCAAATACCCATTTGTACGTTTGATGACATGGGGGAGGGGGGCGGGGGGTCAAAAATCCAAAAATCGTGATTACGTAATATGTGGACGGCCCCTACCTAAGCACTAAAGTGTACGTTAATGTGCTTACAGTTAGTGCATATCGAATCGCATGCTCAATTTTGTTCAAAGATCATGCACTGAAGAGTACATGGTAATTTAGTGTGATCATATTCCACCTCCAGTGTGAGTGTGCAACGTGTGCTCTTGCTTCCGACTTCAGTGCCTCTGAGGTGAGCCGCGACGACGGCCAGGTGGTCAATGACTACAACATCCTGGGCTCCGGAGACCACGGAGTCATTTCCCGGGACAAGTCCACCGAGTCGGCCATGGTCGTCACGCCGGTGCAGCAGGGCGGCGGGGGAACCGTCAGGGAGAGCGACGAGGCCGCCAAGACGGTGCCGAGGACGAGGTGAGTCCTTGATGCTTCGGTGCATCCTCAACTTGAAACTGCGCCCGAAATCGGCATCTGTTCCGAAACCGTTTCAGTTATCCCCTTAAATTAGCTTTTAGTGCGCGTGATTTCCCGAAAGCACTTCGAATCCGACCACGAACAACACAGGGAAATGCTCATCTCTACGTGCAGTTTCGAGTAGGCAATTGCAAGGTTTATACAAACGTTGAAAACCTTAAAATCAGGGAAAAGTCAGGGAAAAAATATGGTCAGGGAAATTAAGGAAATATCACGGAATTTCGCAAAATGCAGCAAAACGTCAGTGAAAAATATATTTACTGCGACAAGGTTCCTGTTTGCTGGACAACTGCGGAGGAGAGCGCGAGACACCGGTCTTTCGACTTCACCTCAACCAATGTTTCGATGCGCTTAAGGTTACTGTAAGGTGAAAAAACTATCTTCCAAAGTATATGTGGCAGTGCTTTGGTTTTTGGTGATTTAGTTACTTTCTATGAAAAACTTTTACAGCCACAGACTAGCCTCCCAACTCCCATTAGTTCCAAAGTTATGAGGGTTTTAGTGTTATTTTAGTCGTTTACTAAAAATTCTCCTTGAGATGAACCAAAAAGTTTGCGGAGGTGTGCTTTTTTATTTTAAGGCCCAATGGACATGCAAACAGACTAGCAAAGCCGGATTTGACAATATATGCATAGATAAGCTGTAATTACTGTTTGGAAAATGCGTTTTGAATTTTTTACTTCAATTTGGTAAAATTTTAGTATTTTTTGGTGTTTTTTTGTGTTTTTTGAGAAAAATTCCTGTTTCATGTTGGAATTTTGGAAATCCGGCTTTGCTACGAGATAGGCAAATCAATAAAGAACTTGTCAAACAAAAATCAAGTCTCGACAACTTTTGGTTCATCGCAAGGAGAATTTTTAGTAAACGACTAAATTTGTTACGTAAACTTCAATAACTCAGAAAATAATGGGAGTTGAGTGCCTCAACTTTGGGTTTAAGTTCATCTTATAGTAAGCAACCTGAAACCTAAATACAAACATGATGCCACAGTTATTTTGAAAAATGATATTTCACATTTTTTCACTTTACAGTAACCTTAAGTGTCAGGGAAATTTGCAATTTTGCATCCGAGAAATCAGGGAAAAGTCAGCCTAGGCAGCCTAAGCAGAATAATTTTTCATGACATGCAGAGTAGAGAAGTTCATCCTTCCTATATCTTATGTTGTTTTTGTGGCATGCTGGAAATTAAATTTGCAGGGGCTAAAATTTACACTACCAATAGTTCACTGTCAGTTTTGCTTGCTTCAAAATTGGCAAGCCGTTTTAAATGCCGCAAATTGGCAAGTCTGATATCGTCATTAGTTAGCTTTGCTGTGGCGCTCGGGCTGCCTGCAATGCAAAATTTTAGTTAAGTATTGCTGCACTGTAACGGTTCATGGTTTTCCCAGGAAGTCCCTGGAAATCGCCTGCCTCTATCATAGGCTTCCTGGGAAAACCAGTTATCTTTTTTTCGTGTGGGACAGGCTTGCCAAATCTAACTTTAAAACGGAATGCCCATGTTTTGGCAAGCAGACTTGACGCTGGACTCGCAGTGTTCGTAGCGCTTTATTAACGCTTCAATGTTCGTTTTGTCTTTCAGGTTCAGCGTTCTGGTGGCGCCCGCCGTGGGCCACTCCAAGTGGGAGCCGGCCTACTGGACTCCACGGCGCTGGGTGGCTGCGAAGCCCAGCGACGGAGCCGACAGGGGCAGGAACCCCATGGCCAAGATGTGGGTCCGGGTGTGGGTAGTCCCGAAGGGCACGGCTATGATGGTGCCCGCCTGGCCGTCCCAGACCGTTCTGGACTTCAAGAGGACATTGGCACGGAAGGTAAGTCGTTGATGCGAGGGCTAATCCACTGTCAAGTTTTATGCGCAATGGTTGTCCTCATCAAATGTCCATGCAGAACTCTGTACGTGTAACCTGCACGATTCCGTGCATACGTGGCCTTTTCGTAATACAGCAGAATTTTAAGCGAACGCTGTACTGGTTTTCAATTATGACTTTGTAGAAAATTGTTCATAAACATGAAGCGTGAGAATGTGCTAGTTAGCCGGTGTATTTGCCACCCATGTAGCCTACTTATATATAGGTGGTTTCGTCATCTGATGGAATGTGTTCAATTCATGTACAATGGCTGGGGAAAGATGTGTGCTTTCACTTATCGTTCCTCCTGTGTCTGCTCTCTGAAAATCTTACAAACTATTTTAAGCCTTACTCAGAAAAGCAGCTCGTTGTAACAAATTATTTTGAGCATTCATAAGCTTACAAAGCAAATACCTTTTTAACTTGCAAACTATTTCTTCGTATAACGAATTTCATTATTTTGTACTATATATGCTTTAAATACTTCGTACACTCCCAGACTGTTATTCACTTTTTGTCCTTTGTTAAAGAGAATTTTACACAGCAATAAAAAGTACTTATGTAAGATTTCGTTCGTTATATTGATTTATAGTCAATTTGCTATTCTTAAAGTGTCAATGCGCAATTGACTTGAAAAATATTCAATAATTGATGACAATTTAGTCTCTATAGTGATCAATATTGTACATGGTTACAAAGAAAATAAAACACATTATTGCTGTTTAAAAAACTACGTAAGCAAATGACAAAAAGTCAATAAGAGTCTGAGAGTGTAGGGTTTTAATCGTGTGCGTGTCGTTGTTTCAGCTCGGCGACGGCGCCACGGCGGAGCGACTGCGGCTGTACCGGACGGAGGACGCCCTGGAGGACTGGCGGCAGCTGGACGCGTGCAGGGTGTACCACGAGACGCACTTGTACGTGGTGGTGGCCGCGGCACCCAGCCGCCGGCCCACGCAGGGCCGCCTCATGGCGGTGCGGGCGCGCTGCTTCGGCGAGGAGGTGTGCGACCTGGTGCTGCAGCTGCGCGCGCGCGCCACCATCGCCGAGCTCAAGGAGGCCGCCCGCAAGAAGCTCCGCGCCGGCCGGACCGACGCCCTCCGCGCCGTGAGGGTCGGCCTGCCCTGCGGCCTGCCCGACGACTGGCTGGTGTGCGAGGTCACGGACGAGCAGTCGAGGGTGAGTCGAGTCTGCTTGCCGGACTTGGGGATGGGCCGACATTCGTGAGAAGCCCTGGAAATGCACTCTGATTCTTGAATTTAAAAATACCCTTTTACAAGTTTCCTGTTGAAATAGTTTTTCTTCGCTATTTATTTTGTTCATTTTCTGGACAATTTTATGCTCTTCCAGATGCACTTTGGATCGAAAATTAAAAACTTAGACTAAAATCGTGCGCGCTGAGGCACATTTTAATTTTGCAGATCTAAATTACGTGCTTCATTTGTTTTGAAATTGTTGTGTAAAGCTTGTACTCAACCATGGTGCGTGCCGTCGCTCTCTAGCATTCGTACCAATCCTTTAATCGAGGTCCAAACAGAAACTTCTTATACCATTCAAAAAAAGAAACGCGCCGAAAGTGCTACTTCCCCTTTTAAATATCACTTCATTGGACTGCTTTAATAAGCGGATCTTCTTTGCAGGTCCACCTCATTGTGAGTAATGCTCACTTCGAAGCCAGACAGATGCGTCTCTGCGTGTCGTCTCTCAGCGGCGGCCAGCCGCTGTACGTGTGCGTGCCCCGATGTGCCCTCGTCAGGGACGTGAAGCAGCGCGTCCAGGCCGAGGAGGGCTTCCCGCCGCACCTGCAGCGGGTCCTGTTCGGCGCCGAGACGCTGCAGGACGACTTCCGCCTGGCCGATTACGGCGTCGCCAGCGACGCCACCCTGCGCGTGGTGCTCAACCTCGCCGGCGGCGGCCCGGAGTTTCCGGAGGGCGCCGAGCAGGTGGAGGCCGTGCAGAGCACGCCGACCAAGGGCGACGACGCGGAGGACGCCAACAGGGACGCCGACCTGGTGGTGGCCAAGGTGGTGGCCGGGCAGCGGCGCGCGCCGCCCGCAACCACGAGGTGCCACTACGCGGCGCTGCTGTCTCGGGCCGCGCCTCTGCTCATCATAGAGGTCTCCTTGGAGGCGGCTGCGTTGGAGCCTCCTGCCAAGAAGCCCCGCTTGGCTCGAGGTAGATTCATGCATTAGTAATTTCTTGACATTCTTATGTAGTTTTCATTTTTATTAGCTATCTGACCTGTAAGAGAAAAAGTATCATGTCCTTACTTTCACTACCTTACTGGTAAAGTTAGGCGTGTTATTGACAATGAGGTGATTAATTGTACTAGTGGATGATTAATCAAGTTGCGTTTGTTGAAAGTCCGGCTTTTGAAATTTTAACTGCACTAAATTTCAGATTGTTTACTTAATTTAATGGAGCTTAGGCTGTATTAGACCTGTAGTAAATTTTCAAGTGTTTGATTACTTGTTTGATTACCTGTCATTTACGTCCAGATTTTTATGATGAATCTGTTCCAAGTTTTTGTTATTTTACTGAATTTGAGAATAATGGCACTGTGTTTGACCTGTATTTAACTTCTGATTGATGAGCCACATCGTGCTTAATATAAAACCAATTTTATTAAAAATTGGACTGAGGTTACTTTTAAGCATTTTACTTAATTTTACTGTATTGACACTGGCCTTTCTATTTGAAAGTTGTGTCTTGTTTGACATTGTTCTGACATTGTTTATTAGTAAAACAAATTTGTCGCATATTAATTTTGATTGATCACTTTGGTACACCGCCCTTACGGGAGGGTCAATGGGTGAAGCGAATTCTCAACTTCAACTACAAAATCCACTGTGTAAGCTTACTTGGCTCAAACAGGGTGGCCACATGTCAGGGAAATAAAGATGTGTCAGGGAAGTCAGGGAAAATGCATAACCAGCGGTGTTAGGGAAAACCCCACAATCGTCAAAGAAAAAGTTTGAAGTGTGGTATTGAAACGTATTCAAAGGCTGATTAAAGGGAACATCGGAATCCAATTTTCGTCAATATGAGCCATTGTCTTTTGGCTCGCTTCGCTCGGGTCAAAAAAAATAGAAGAGGCTCTAAGCAACGTACATAATCCGTACTTTTCGCTACTTGATCGCTACTTAAGGATAAATCAGGTGCGAAATTTGGATACTATTCGGTAGTCCCTGAGAAACGTGAGTGGTTATATACGTAGAGACAGAGGGACAAACAGACGCACGACCTGTCACTTTTTGGTGCGCCTAAATGTTATGTGTGCGCAAAACTGTTGTTGCTTAGTTCTTTCTCAAATCGCACGACCCCCGAAATCGATGTCTCGGATTCGGACCAAACTTGGTGGACTCATTGCTTGGGTCACCAAAACCAAGTTTCTGACCCCAAAAATTTTTTTTTGCTCTAAAAATATTTTTTTCCCTAAAAGTGTAAAAAATGGACCAAAAATCGAATTTTCGTCCGATTGACCCTACATAGTGCAAAGTTGTTTTTTCAACGTCTTTTGATCTTATTTTATCCTATTTTATCCTATCCCACTCAGAAATGATTTTTAACACCACTATAAACCATGAAAAACGACAAAATTTTAACGTTTTCTTGAATACCCAAAAAATGCATCCGAATTTTTTCATGAAAATTTGTTTTTAAATTCATCTTTTGGTCATCTAACATGTGTCAAAAAATTGGGAGAGTTAAATTTGGGGGAACTTCAACAGGTATGAGGTCCCGTCAGGTATAATCCCATCGGGCATAATGTTCTTTAGGTATAATTGGCAACACGCATAATTCTCAACAGGTATAATAGATTTATTTTTAGTTTCATCAGGCATAATTTGCATGAAGTATAATTCTCATCAGGCATAACTTTTATTTTTTAATTTATTTTATATTTTACATTAAATTCAGCTCTGAGGAGCGATATACTGTGGGCAAAAGTGACACCTTGCCCGGTGGGTGCATTCAGAAAGCAAAGCAATAGTGGAACCTTGGCCAAGGAGGGAGACCCATTCCAGGGTTAGGAAGAAGAAAAGAAATCAGAACTGACACTTGTTGTTTTTCACTATGTAGGCAACTGTAAATTGCGACACTAAAATAGAATTTCAACTGAAGTACAAGTATTGGTATTGAAGGCTTGCAGCTGCAAACAGTGTGCTCACCATGTTTCGGGAGAGGGCTGAAATGACCAACAGCTGCCTACCAGATGGTTTCTCAGGACGGACGGAAAATGTACTATCAACAAGGATCCATACTGCAGCTGGCAAAATTGTGTATTATGCCTGATGGGAATTATATGTGAGGGGAATTATATTTGACGACATTATGCCTGATGGGAATTATATGTGAAGAGAATTATATCTTATGCTACGCTTGTATTTTTTGTATACTGTCGGTTATATCTGTTAAGAATTATACCTGAGGAGATTTCGTGCAAATCAACAATAATTATTTATGCGTTATATCTGATGAGAATTATGCATGATGAGATTATACCTGATGGGACCTTATACCTGATGAAGACTACTCGTTAAATTTGAATTGCCTTTAAAATAATTTTTTTCCTTTTTTTCAGTGAAAATTTTCATTGAAATGACTCAATTTATCAAGTTTTCAGCAAGACTATTCAAGTCTCATGGCTCCTGGGTCCTCCTGGATGGGCAGGGATGTTGGAAATGTATTACTGAGTAGATAGTAGCTTCAAGATGTTTATTTTTAATTATTTTAGATGGTTGTCAGGCAATACCGGTAAGTTGCCCTAGACTCCGACGAAGTCCCGGCCCATAGACCCCGATCCGACCCCGACCCGGTCCCGACCTGGCCCCGACCCGGCCCAGACCCGGCCGAGACCTGGCCGAGACCCGGCAAAGACCCGGCTCAGACCCGGCCAAGTGGCCGGGCCGGCCGACACCCGGTCGCCCTATAGGCCGGCAAAGCCTTGGCTAAGCCCTGGCGGTGTCCGACCGACCGGCCAAGTCCGGCCACGGTGTAAGAGTGCACCACCCGAAGAGTGGTCTACCTACACTGTGCCCGGCGGAACCCGCCCCAGTCCGGACTCACGGTGTAGGGAGACCACTCTTCGGGTGGTGCACTCTTACACCGTGGCCGGACTTGGCCTCCCGGAGTGGTCTCCCTACACTCGGTCGGACTCTGCCGAGGCTTAGCCACACTGAAAATCTACCGGCGTGACTTCGTGCCGCTGCAGGGGCGTGAAGAAAGTGTCAGGCCATTAAACGGCATGACACAAAAGTCACGCCAAAAATCGGCGTGACTCAAAAATTCACGCCAATTTTTGGCGTGAATTTCTTGTCATGCCGCTTTTTGGCGTGACTTGCCTCAGAAAACGCGTTGTCAATCACGCCAAATGAGGGCGTGACTCACATGTCACGCCGTTTTTCGGCGTGAATTTCGTGTCACGCCAATTTTTAACGTGACTTTTTGTCACGCCATAATTTGGCCATGTGTCCGACCATTACGTTTTCAGTGCAAGGCTTTGCCGGATTCCTATGGGGCGACCGGGTGTCGGCCGGCCCGGCCTTTCGGCCGGGTCTTTGACGGGTCTCGGCCGGGTCTTTGCCGGGTCTGGGCCGGGTCTGGGCCGGGTCTGGGCCGGGTCGGGGCCAGGTCGGGACCGGGTCGGAGTCGGATCGGGGCCTATGGCCTGGGACTTCGTCGGAGTCTAGGGCAACTTACCGGAGCGATTCTCACGTTTCGGGGTAGTTTTGGCGTCTCTGATTTGCCGAAAGTGAGAAATATCCAATTAAGTTTTTCTGATTATTGGGGTCCTGGATGATACTAGAGTTATGGCAATGGTATTTATAGTGAAGACCTTGTACTACTTTCCTAAAAACATGAGCCATAAGGTATTCCCATACGTTTTAGTGGGTGTTTTGATCACGGAAATTACGTTATCACGGAAGTTACAAAGTGTGAAAATCGGCTTTAACGCGGGCTTGCTGTGGCTTAAAAGTCGTTCCAGGGTCAAATGATACTCGAAGCCCGACATTTAAGCGGAAATTTTTTTCACCTAGTGCTGCTGCAACATTGGGTAATGGGTGCCACGGAAGTTACAGGTAATTGTTGATACACGCCATTTTATAATGCTCTAGCCCGCTTTGAGACCGTGTACAGCATCTTAGATTTCCGCGACCCATGCAATTATATCCCAGGGCTTGATGGCTTGTGTCATGGAAAGTTTAAAGTTTGGCTTGGGGAGAAGTCCAGAGCTGCCTTTTCGAAATTTGTGTAGTGAAATTGAATATACGGTGGACAGTTTTCGTTGCAGCATAAGTACCTTTGAAAGAGGTCTAGAGTATTGGTCTTCGGTCGAAATTAGCTCGAGACATGCCAAGCTTCGAATCCCCATCGACAGTTGGCAGCATTTTCGAACCACACCGCCACACTGGGGGCGGAAAGTTCGAGTATGTTCTCTTTGGACAATCACGGAAGTTACATTTAGGGTATTCCAAACGCTACGTAGACCAAACCAACGAACGTAAACTTTTCGAAATGTGTGCGTTTAGTGGGCAATGGCCCTCCCTAACATCAGAAACAAACCCCATGTCGATATCTGCGCTCGTTTGGGCACAGGAGTCAGAAGAAACGAAACTACCCCGAAACGTAAGAATCGCTCACCGGTATTGCCTGACAACCATCTAAAATAATTAAAAATAAACATCTTGAAGCTACTATCTACTCAGTAATACATTTCCAACATCTCTGCCCATCCAGGAGGACCCAGGAGCCATGAGACTTGAATAGTCTTGCTGAAAACTTGATAAATTGAGTCATTTTAGTGAAAATTTTCACTGAAAAAAGTGGAAAAAAATTATTTTAAAGGCAATTCAAATTTAACTCTCCCAATTTTTTGACACATGTTAGAGGACCAAAAGATGAATTTAAAAACAAATTTTCATGAAAAAATTCGGATGCATTTTTTGGGTATTCAAGAAAACGTTAAAATTTTGTCGTTTTTCATGGTTTATAGTGGTGTTAAAAATCATTTCTGAGTGGGATAGGATAAAATAGGATAAAATAAGATCAAAAGACGTTGAAAAAACAACTTTGCACAATGTAGGGACAATTGGACGAAAATTCGATTTTTGGTCCATTTTTTACACTTTTAGGGAAAAAAATATTTTTAGAGCAAAAAAAAATTTTTCGGGGTCAGAAACTTGGTTTTGGTGACCCAAGCAATGAGTCCACCAAGTTTGGTTCGAATCCGAGACATCGATTTCGGGGGTCGTGCGATTTGAGAAAGAACGAGAGAACATTCTCTCTGCTCTGCTCCACTCAGCTTCGCACTCTCTTTGGGCCATAACTCAACCCTTCATCGTTGGGTCTGATTCGGCTAGGCGGGATCACAAGGCAAGGTGTAACAGTAGCAAGCGAGGGCAAATTCTTGCACAACTCTTTAATCACACATAGTTACACTAGGGAGTTACAGAGCGGCGAGTGCGATGGCGACGTGCGGTGTCCGAGGGCGAGCGGGGTCTTTTCCGGGGCCCTGACGAGCAGCTCCGACTCGGAGGTCCCCTCCGAGTCGCGTCCGCTCCCCGCTTTTAGCCCCGTCCGGCCGGGTGCCGGACTGGGAGAGGGGGCTGTGGTCAACCCCCGCGGCGGTGCGCGGTTTCGACTCGTCACCTTCACACGCTGGCCACCACCTCATTATATTTCCGCGGCAGGTGCTGGGCCCGTATGCGCTTCGGGCTGATCCGGTTACGACATGGGCTTCGCTATCGCTCAGCCGATAATTATTAAATTTACGGTCACACTTGTCAAACATGCATACATAAGTGTTAACATTTTGGTGAGATATTTGGAAATGGACACGAAAAGAGAACAAGTCAGGAAATTGGGACTTATACATTGAGAGCAAGGCACATTTTGAAACATCTGGTATGTAACACCAATGGGCCCTGTAAAAGCACACGAAAGAAAACTAATTAAAATTACGAAGTTTAACTACAATGAGATCAATATTAATACTAAAACATTAGAAGAAAAAAAACAAACACAACTCTAACTGCACAAAGGTTGTGTAGAAAACATTTCAAAATCAACTAAAAGAAATTGAGCAAACAGATGGGAAACACTTGGATGATTTAAACTTTAAATACTCAGAGCGACTGCTTTCAATTCGGCCGTCTCCATCCTTCCCTTCATTGATGCCACACAGCTGTTTCCAAGAAGAGCCATTCCCTCTCTGCTCCAATGTGATATTTTCCATCGAGTGAATGGAAACTCTTGAAAGGAATGTCTATAGCCTTGCGTGCATTGTCCACCTTGTACAGAATGTTGTTGACACGGATGTAGCTTTGCTGAATCGAATCTACATCAGGGCCAACAACGATTGCTTGAGGTCCCAGGCTTAAATTGTTGCTCATACTTTTCTTTCAGCCGGTCTAACAAAGTTGGTTCAATGTCTCCAATTGTCTTAAGCAAAAGATGAACAAACAAAAATTAATAAAAGAAACACCGACAGATCACAAAATTCTTAAGTACAGCCACAAGCCTTTAAAATTGCAACAGAAACATTAGGTTACAAAATTTCCAAAAGGGCATGACATTAAAAGGTAAGAAATCTAAACCAACCTTTACATGAAGCAGCAGAGCTTTACCAACTTCGTATCTTGAGGGTCGCCACTGCTTGTTCTTTCCTTTCTTGGCGCATGTTTAGACTTGGAACAGATAAGGCAGAGCCAAAATTGTCTTTATCTTCCTTCCCTATGCAAAGTGAAACCAAAACAAAACAGAGTCACACAAAAAGTTCGAAACAGTCACATTGGGGAACGTGTTGATTATAAGTTTACCTGGAGTCAAACAATTTTGAATTTTAGTTAGTTTAGCTTTGGGCACCTTAGACTCCAATAGCGAGAGGTTCGGCCACTCTCCGAACAAATTGACTCGAGAGTTGGGGAACTCCTTCAAATCAAAATCCATTTCCCGCTGCAACAGATAAAATTTGAGTTATTAATTCATGAAACCCTCTTAAAATAAACAGACATGGCTTGCTCAAAATAAACTTACAAGCAAATAGCCCAGGGGATCCCTTAATGCAGGATAAACACTCATGTAGCAATCAGTTGAGGAGGCACCCCCTAACTTGCGCAAACGATACGAAGATTTAGCTTTCCATTATTCTTCCAAACTTGACCAGGGCTGTTGTTGTTCTTCAGCCTGAGTATGTCATCATGGGCAGGATCATCCTGATCCTTTCTTGAAAACAAAATGATTGGGACATTGAAAGGAAATGAGCAAACCAAGATAAAATGCAACCAGAGATCCTTAACTTAACTTAACATTTAACGAACACTGCTTTCATAACGTAACATAAGACAATGTTCGCTAAAGGTTAAGGGTACGTACTTGGAAAAGTGTATCTACACAAATTCGAGACAAAAAAAATATCCTACCCTTTTGAAAAGATGTTATAAGTTAAGGGTAATAACTTTAACTCTAATGATAACGTTATGATGCCCTTTTGAGTTAAGTTAAGGATCCTTGAATGCAACCAATATATTTACCATCACTGGAGATGTTTGGAGTTTCCTTGTCTTTCTGAGCCTCCTTAATTAGTCTACCTTTGCGCATAACCTTACGCTTTTAACCTTTTTACTAATTTGCGCCTTCCCTCAACACTATCCCTACCACCAGGAGTGGGAGAAGCCTGCAGACTGCAACAGAAAAATAAAAACTAATGTGAATGATAGTCCATCTACCTAAAAATTAAGTCCAAAATAAAAACTAGAAGATTCTTTACCTTGACATCTGTTGGAAATAATTGCACTATTATGTCTGCCAAGTAAACTTCCATTTCGTAAGAGAACCTAAAATACAATTATTTTAGTGGCCAATTAAGCGCATCAATGGTTTGTAAAATTAATAAAAATACACCAAAAAACCTTACTTCATATCATATTCTTCCTTCAGATGCTCGTTCATGAGCACATCTCCAAGCAAGCTTCTGCCCGCGTAGAACTGGAGCACTTAGATTCGTCTTTTTTCTATCTTTTCGAAAAAGTTAGCAGGAAGTCTGGCGACAGATACACACAAGATAGAAAGAAGTCACCTCAATGTATATTTTGGCTGTCTTCCAGCTGTCTTTGAATTGCCTTTTATCTATCTTTTTTGGCCGAAAAAAAAACACACAAAAGATACGTAAAAGACACTTTCACCGGCCAGAACGGCGGGCTAGATAGATGGATGGATGTTCTTAAACACATGGCATTTAGCTATCACTTCTCACGTTTTATTCAAGTTCAAAAGAATTAAGGGGGGACATCACTCCAAAAACAGTGCTTTTGTAAAAACGTCATAAAAACCAAACGGAAAGAGGAAAATTGTTCATATTTTAACAGATAAAGCATAAAACAACACTAAGTCAATCCGCCAGGGCAGTACAGCGCTTTCGTTGAAAACACATTTTTGAGTGTTAGGTTAGACCATTTCGCACGGTTGCAGCGCTGGACGCCAAACGGTTTGACCTAGAACATTGAAATTTGGTGACAGCCTTCCTGAGATATCTGGCTATGGTGGGTACCTCAATCACATTTCAAAAATCATTTAAAGTTGAATTTGTTACATGCCAAAAAAATTGTTCAATTTTTTGGGTCAAAATTGTTCAATTTTGAACGTTAAAAAAATAATAAAAATTGACCAAATCAAAATATTTTGCTACCCACCATGGCGGCATGTCGAAGGAGCTTCCATGCTAAATCTCCCCGCTGTAGCTCAAAAACTGCGCCCTAGAGGCCTGCAACCGTTTGCAATTTCATGTTCCGAGAAAAACGCGATCAAAGTTGGGGAAACTGGGCTTTTCCCCTATGCATGTTTGCGGCGCACAACCTACTAAAACTGCAATTTTTTGTATTCCGGAATTCGGTTTTCACCATTCGACGCAGAAAGGAATGGTCTATAATATAAACTAATAAAAAAAAGTTGCAATTTTTGATCATTTTGGAGTGATGTCCCCCCTTAAGAGGCTCACAAATGACAGACTGGTTTTAAATTGCAATATGAAAACAAACAGAAGCCAAGGATTTCACGTTAACAAGGCGGAAAACATTTTGAGCAAGCGAATATATTTCTTGATGTGGCACTTTTCATACACATCTGTAACAAAAAACGCTGGCTCAACATGAAACATCTGTGTTACAGCATAGAACTTACATGTGCATGAAACACTACATGAGTCTTCACACAATTCAGAACTGTCCTTGAAAAATCTTTCAATTCTACCAAAATGGCGACAGTTGCCATGTTTGTACTTCACATGTGATGAGACTCTAGACCCACTCTCATAAGATTCAGACACAAACAACATTCCATGCTGGTATAACTTTGAGAAAAGTAGTGAGCGATTCTCACGTTTCGGGGTAGTTTCGTTTCTTCTGACTCCTGTGCCCAAACGAGCGCAGATATCGACATGGGGTTTGTTTCCGATGTTAGGGAGGGCCATTGCCCACTAAACGCACACATTTCGAAAAGTTCACGTTCGTTGGATTGGTCTACGTAGCGTTTGGAATACCCCAAATGTAACTTCCGTGATTGTCCAAAGAGAACATACTCGAACTTCCCGCCCCCAGTGTGGCGGTGGGGTTCGAAAATGCTGCCAACTGTCGATGGGGATTCGAAGCTTGGCATGTCTCGAGCTGATTTCAACCGAAGACCAAAACGCCAGACTTCTTTCAAAGGTACTTATGCTGCAACGAAAAATGTCCTCCGTATATTCAATTTCACTACACAAATTTCGAAAAGGCAGCTCTGGACTTCTCCCCAAGCCAAACTTTTAACTTTCCACGACACAAGCCATCAAAGTGGAGTCCCTGGGATATAATTGCATGGGTCGCGGAAATCTAAGATGCTGTACACGGTCTCAAAGCGGGCTAGAGCATTATAAAATGGCGTGTATCAACAATTACCTGTAACTTCCGTGGCACCCTTTACCCAATGTTGCAGCAGCACTAGGTGAAAAAATTTTCCGCTTAAATGTCGGGCTTAGAGTATCATTTGACCCTGGCACGACTTTTAAGCCACAGCAAGCCCGAGTCAGCCGTTAAAGCCGATTTTCACACTTTGTAACTTCCGTGATAACGTAATTTCCGTGATCAAAACACCCACTAAAACGTTTGGGAATACCTTATGGCTCATGTTTTTAGGAAGGTAGTACAAGGTCTTTACTATAAATACCATTGCCATAACTCTAGTATCATCCAGGACCCCAATAATCAGAACAACTTAATTGGATATTTCTCACTTTCGGCAAATCAGAGACGCCAAAACTACCCCGAAACGTGAGAATCGCTCTAGTACATTTTTAGGCACGAAGTAGCCTTATAGTATACCCAGGACTCAGCCGGCTCGAGATTTGATTTGTGTGGCCCTTTATGCATTTCGGAAGTTTTCTATACGATTTTAATGAGATTTTGCAGACTAGTAGAACTTTGAACGCTGATTCTGATGTTGAAATCTGGTCAAAAATTTGGTGGCCAATTTTGAGAAATTTGCTGTCAAAATCGCCGTTTCCATGGCAAAACTCGACTCGTCAAAGGAAAAAAAAAGGAGTGGGGGGAGCCGAGCCGGGGCGGACCAATAGCGGAGCTTCTTTTTGGGTCTGTACAGCTTACTCCAAAAGCTGAAAAAGCAACGTTCGAAATGAAAAATTTCTTTGACTGCAGGTAGACAAGATGCAACAATAGAATTGGTGCCGGTTCGAACGCAGTTTTTCGGGTAGAACTATCCAATAATACTTCTTGATTGGAGTGTTTTTGGACATGCGCAGTGTTGTTGTTGTGATTCAGTTAGCACTAGGACCACTTCGCTCCACCTCGCGACTTGCAGTGCTCATGTTCCTCGAACAAGACTCACCCGCGTTTCGAAACCATCCCTCCCGAGTTTATGAAGTTTGTCAAACCAACCGTCGTGGTGTTGATACGTTGTAAGGGAGAACTATTACACAGAATTGAAGAAAACATGACTAGAGAACCATAGCCTTTTGAAACAAGCCAAACAATTCAACGTCCACAACAATGGAGGGGCAGTTTTAATGCGCGACTGCTGGCGCTTTCAGCTTCGCGATTTTCGCAAGGGCGCAGACGCCGAGAAAATAGTTGCCAACCCGAGAAAATTAATTTACTGACTTCTTTCTGCTAAGAACATTTTAATCATGATGGACTTCAAAGATGTTCCATTGTCAGAACACTGCGGAATACATTAGCATTGGAATTTTTTGAATTTTCCAGCATTTTGATTTCTATTTATTGTCAAGTTTAAATTTCGACGGATGGCACATCGACCACATTGGTACCACTGCCATTGGTAGTCCCCTGAGCCACAACTTCACAACACCACTTCTTTTCTTTCTCCACACTCTTACACAATAATCAAATTGACTTCGTGACTCCTAGGATTTCTTGAAATCGTATTTTTTTCATCAAGTATTTTTTCTTTAGGTGGTTTGTAGGTAACTGTAAATGCATCACTATTGATGCGCTTATTCTTTTTCAGCCGTCTGTGTTTCTGAAACAACTTTTCACAAAAGGTTTTGGCTTGACCTGCTGGGAGTTTCTTGGTGAGAAGAGGCAACCGTGTCAAAAGGTTATAAATCTCATAATTTGAAGAGGGACTTCCTTCGAACCATGTATGGGAGTCATCAACTTTCCATTGAGGTTTTCAAAAGGGACCACAATCTATCTCACACCCTTAAAACCATACGAAGAATGGCTTTGTATAACGAAGAAATTTCTTCGTTGCTTACGTAGGATTTTGAGCATACGTTATACAAAGAGTTAGTTCGTAGTCTTGCGAAGTACATACTACGTAACAGGACAGGTCTCTATGGATGCTTCGGTTTGAAAGTGCTTTGTAGCTAACAAAGAATTTGTTCGTAGCTTACATAGAATTAGTTCGTAGGTTACAAAGAAATCCCTTCGTAGCTGACAAAGAAATCCCTTCGTAGCTGACAAAGAAATAAGTTTGTAGGGCACGAAGAAATGACTTCGTTGGTCACAAAGATGAGAGGGCTCGGAATGAAAGGAATGATTCTTCGTGTGATGCGAAGATAATACTTCGTATGAAGTTGAGGCTGCACTCTTAATTGATAATTCAATATTGATTGACATATATTTTTAATAAGCAATAATTTTGCTTTGCAAGAAGGCAAAATCACATCCTTCAGTCCGTACAAAATGTATAATAAATGAATAATTATTATTAGAAGTAAAAAGATCAATTTTTGGGGAAACAAGTGCAATAACATTGACTGACTTGTACATTGACATTGAAAACTTAACTTCATAATCAATACTAAACAATGTTTAACAAACAACACAACTGACTAGGTGAGTTTGACAATGGAAACATGTGACTGGTAACAAGGATTAAAGAAGCTAATTTAAAATTATTAAATCTAATGTTTTTGAGTCAAGATAGAGCTCAAGAAAGTTGCTCTCTCTTGGACTATCCAAAGGAATTTTGAAAACATATAATAAGAGATATATACAATAACATAGATTGACATTGTACAGTAACATTGACACTGAAAACTTAACTTAATATTCAATATTAAACAATATTTAACAAACAACACAATTGACTTGGTGAGTTTGACAATGGAAACATGTGACTGTTAACAAGAATTCAAGAATTAAAAATAATTTAAAATTATTGAATGGACATGTTTTTGAGTCTAAGATAGTGCTCAGGAAAGGAGCTCTCTCTTGCACTATCTAAAGGAATTTTGTAAACATATAATTGGAGAAATCTAAAGGCATTTTTCCACCCTAGAGGGAAATATGCACTAAAAACAAAAAATGACTTTAACAAGAGATCAGTAGCATTTGTTAAGGTGGCTGCTCTACTTAGCTCCAACAACTTAGAGTCTCCAAGCACAAGGAAAATTTTTGCATCCCTGCCATTTCCTACAGTCATGAGATGGGGCTGAATCATGTACTCTGATTCACTTCTCCTTTGGTCTGCCTGTTGTTGAGGATCACTACCCAGCTGGAGGGGGGGGAAAATCAGTTGAGATTCAGACAAAATTAACGGAATAAATACCAAGATGGCACTACTGAGAAGGCAAAAAGGTACTCACAGGCACTATGAAAAGTAGGTCAGAAGTGCGGGCATGTAGAGGCATCTTCCTTTCATGCTCAAAAGTTCTGCGAGGTGTTGGTAGGAACTTGGTAAGGCAATAAAGAGCGTTCAAGGCATCTGGACAGAAAGTTAAAAGAACACAAATCAATAAAATTTATTCCCTATACTGGTTATAAGATTGCAGCAAATGTAGTAATTGTCAAGCCTACCATTTGATGTCCAATTTACACATTCCATGAATTTCTGATCATCCTTGACAATTGCTAAAATTTTAGGCACCATATCAACCATGAACTCTCTGAAAAAGACACCCTGCCTGCTTGGGTATAAAGTGTTAAACTCTTGCTCGATCTAGAAAGAAAATAGAAATCAGAATGTAACATAAAATTGTAACAAAAGTCATGGACATCAACAAGAAATATATACTAAACATACCAGCTCTCCATGATAGGACAGAAAGTGGGGGAAACCCTCAATAATCCTCCCTGTGTTTAATTCCTTTTTTGCCATCTTCTCCCTACGCCTTGTGTAAGTTTGAGACATAAGATGAAGCACATTTGCTTTGTTGCCAATGGTAGGCATAGTCTGACTCAGCTCAGAAACCTGAAACATTTTGATATCATTAGGAAAATCAACAAATAAAAACAGGGGTTCATACGATCATGTATCTGAACTCACATCTTGCACAAAACTGACAGGGTCAGGCGAATCATCAGGTGTGTCGTCTGGAGGTGGTAACAGTTTTCTTGGCACTTTCGGTCCTTTGGGAACAGAGGGTGCATTTCGCACACCCTGACCAGTTTTTCTTTTGAGACTTCTTTGGTTTGTAATTATGCTGTGAGCAAGGAAGCCCATATTTCCTTCTCCAAAGAAATGATGCTGAAAATAAAAATATTTAGAGGCAATGAAAGTCAGTCAATTGTGTTACGATTCAGACAAGCAGTAAATATGCTCACCCAGGGCCGGTCTGACTCTTTAACAAGATGCTTCCTCATTTTAGGTAATGTTTTCACAATACTAATTGCCGCTGCCTCCCTCTGCCTTGTGGTAACATTGAGAACAGATCTGTAATGATAAAAATAATAGATAGAAATATGAATAGCCCATTAATTTACATCAATTTATAGGATGTTATGACTCACCCTGCTTCTGATATTAAATGGTCTGTAATTATTGTAATGAACCTTTTTCTTTCTGCACCATATACAATACCATTTTCATCAAGTTCTCTCAGAAGAGGGTCTTTACTAGCCTGGATTATTTCTAAGATGTTGTATTCCTGGTAAAAATTTTCAACATTAAATATTATTATTTTTTAAAGGAAACTTAACAAATGTGGAGATGGCTTACTTACTAGAGATAACTCAGCAAGGCGCTCTTGAATTAAACGTATGACCTGAAACAGAGCAGATGAATTAATTGAATTTCTGATTCATTTGGAAATATTGGATAACCTATATTTTAAAAACAGAAAGAACATACTCTATCCTCCTGGTTCAGGAAAACAAAATAATTGGAATCACTAGATAGAGGGGCTACTAATGCCTGCAAAATAATATTTTCTCCATTAAATTTTCTGAATCATGAGTAGCTGAAGTAACACACAAACACAAAAAAGGAAAGCAAATACAAATTAGAAATAAAAAGGGAGTTACCTGCTGGTGTGGTGATGCAGATGATCCTCGAGAGCAGCCTGGTCTAACTGCAGGCAGTGCTGAACTTGATGAAGCAGTAGCAGGCGTGCCATACTGATATGTATGGCTTGAGGAAGTTGCAGATGGTCGCAGCATGAAAGAAGAAGATGGTCTGACAGATTGTTCAGGCAAGGTTGAAGGGCTTACTGGTGTCCCCACCAAAAGAGAAGGTGATCTTGTGCTTTGAGTGCAGGCCGGTCGAACTGAGACCAGTGTTGAAGCTGATGAAGCAGCTGCACGCATACCATATTGCAGGGAATGGCATGAGGAAGTTGCAGATGGTCCCATCATTAGAATAGAAGCGGGTCTGACAGACGAATGTTCAGGCAAGGCTGTAGGAGCTACTGCAGGTGTCCGCACAAAATTAGAAGCGGGTCTCACAGACTGTAATGGCAGGGCTGAAGGACCAGCAAGACATCTGGGCACATTAAAAAGAGAAGAAGCTGTTCTGAATGACTGCATTGTTGAGCTTGCCTCTGCAGTCGAGCTTGTCTCAGCAGCAGCCCTGCTATTCATAGCTTGCGTTTCTCCCCATGTTGGTGAAATATTTTCTTTATTCCAAGGATCCTTTAATAATAAGAAGAAAAATTAAGACAGAACAAAAATTAAATTGTAGATACAAATGAAAATTTTATGAAATGTAATTATATGCCAGCACTTACATGGATGCTTGAAGACATCTGAAGATCATCTCCCTCTCGCTGCTGGCTGTTAGATGTGTGTTGGGGACCGCAACTTTCATATACTGCAGATGGCGACCCCAGAGAAGAGCTGTTTCTTGGCATGTGCCTCTGCAGCAATAAAAAGGGAACAATAATAAGATATTGACTGCATGATAGATAAAAAATAAAAATAAAACAATTCCTAAACTCACAGTCATGTTTGAAAGGCTATCTTCAATTGCTTCAGACTGCTCATTTGCAGAAGCGAACGAGGACATAACTTCATCGAAATCCATACAAGGGGATGATGATCTCAAAGAAAGTAGGTCTTCAGAGCTCTGCAGAAAAAAAAAGTAGAAATACAATGTGAATTAGTACATGCAAGTAAGCATTTAAATAATAATAATAAATAATACTACTTTCCAACACTTACATGAATGCCTGGAAACTCATCAAATGTCGAATCCTCAACAACTGCATCAGTTCTCAGAGGCAGTGAATTGTGGGTGGCATTTCCAGAAGAGAAATTCACACTTGAATCCAGTGAAGGGGATGGCAAACGAGGGGTAGGATCTCTCACAAAATTCTGCAGATAGACAATTAAATTAGCACACTCAATAGAAAAACTTCAAAAATAATTTAGCTTGAGGTCTCTTACAGGCATGTTAGGAGAAGGATTATCAGCTTGGGTAATTGGCATTGTTATATCATTCCTCCCTTCTCTGTTATCTGAAGAGCAGTTTCTCCCTGACTCCATCTGTAGGAGCACCAGTCAAATCATGAAAAGTATTGCAAACAACAATAAAAATACCTGAAAATAATGGGTGAGGAACCACAAACTTGATGACTACATACTGAAGTTAGGTCAGGCTGAGATGAGTTTCCTTGATTGGAGCTTGCACTTTGGATGGATGTCAAGTTAGCTTGCCTTGAACTTCTGCGTGTTGGAGCAGGATTAGTGGGTTTAGGCTGAAACAGAAAGAGTGAGTTCATTACAAGGATCATACGACTGTAGTTAAAATTTTCTAATCAGACAAAAAGAAAGTACAATGAAAATATGTTACCTGAGTACGAGTAGAACTGCCACCTTTCTTTCTACTTGGCTTTGGCTCTTCGGGTGACATGAATGCTGGAGCTTTCATGGGACAGCCTGGAAAAAAGAGAGAAGGTTAAAAAACACTCTGTCTATGGAACTTAAAACAACAGAAAACAAAAAATGAATACAAAGTAGAAAGAAAGAATAGGAGATTAACTTACCATTCATAAGCATAGAGACGTAGGCGTTGAATCTTGCCAAGTTTGCTGTCCTTTCAATGTCTGGCATTGCATCCCACACCTCGTCAGAAAAGAAGTGTCTGATCTTGTCATAATTCATTTCTGTTGCCACTTAAAAAAATAGTATTTCTCAAATTAGTAATCTGATAAGAATAACACAATTTTATGATTTGTTCTTGCTATTACCACTGAGGCTGTTCATGAATTTTATTACTTTATGGGACATATCAAAATTTAGATCAATAGAATTAAAAATTATTGGACCATAATGAATGGCATAATAGGAAAACTATAGATGCAAGACTTCGGTATCATCACTTCAAGCAATGGTTTGAGGAGCAAGGTACATCTGATTGGAATCATAGCGTTTCCACAAGCTCAAAAGGCGGTGTGTGGCCATCTGGGCAGGTTGGACTACTTGAAGAGGAGCATCACTGTCAGGATTGACCTCATATGCCGCAAACTTGGGATCGAACTTGACAGTTTTCCAATTCTGAGAGATCAAATAAATAGCATCCTCACTGAATGAAACATATACTGCAATGATTTTCCCAAATACTGGGTAATGTCCCCCATTCTTGAGACTGAGAGTAACAAAGAGTTCTGGCCTGTAGTCAATTCCATGACATTTGACAAACTTCACCACATACACTTTGGACAATGCATTGACACCAGAATCAATCAACTGTTTTGCATGGACAGTATCACATACAGTATAAAGTTTCCTTCCTTGCTTACTCATAACAAGGATCTGTTTTTGCTGGTTAAGCATGTCAGATGCAGTCTTCATCTGAAGCATCTCCATGAGAGTTTTCAGAAAATTTATATAATTGTGGCAAACAGTTGCTACTAATTTGAAGAAGTAGTGCTTGGCTTCATATCGAGCACACCAATATAGTATCATTGGCCCAAATTTTCTTAGCTGGGCTGCATAATGCAAAAGATGGTGATGCTTGTTGATGAACCTAATTATTCTTTTCTTTTTTCTCTTCTTCTGCTTCTTTCTAGCAACCTCTTCAGCATTGGCCCCCTCATTCACTCTTGGAGGAACAACTTCTAAGTCAACTTCTTGGTGATGATCTTGAAATATTTCAAAGTGACTATCATCCTCTTCATCTGCTTCAGTTGCAGGAGTTCCTTCTGGATCATCAACTTGTTCCTCGGAGGCTGTTCCAACTTCTTCACTGGCAGGCTCCCCGGCTGTTTCCTCCTTGCCTGGAAAAATAACTTTAAAAACACGATGATGCTCAAAAACAAGTGCCCCTAGATTCCCCAAATCAGCCTCACAATGTGCATGAGCAAAGGAAATTGACATAATTTGATTTAAGAGACTGATGAGTTGCATGAACATATCATCCTGAGGGACAAGATCAGCAAATAAGAAAGGAAATGCACGGGTGAGCAGCCACATCTGACAACCAGTTTGGTGCAGATTGTATGAGCTGATGTCACTGAGGTAACTAGCAGTAAATGTGGGTGATGGCTTGTTATTCTTTTCAGCAAACCCATAATCAAAGAATTGCACTCTTGCATTTAAGGTGGCCTCATCAAAATACTTCTTCTCACAGACATAGTGTCGGAGTGCCAACTTTACTTCCATCTTGCAAATTCCTTGCGGGAGATCATGGAAGATATCGAACACTGAATGTTCAATTGGTCTGAAGAATCGGAGTCCCTCTAAGGGGGATGACCCAAGAACACCAGTGGCTTTTTGCCAAGCTTCACTGATTTTTGCTGAAGCAACATCCTTTGCATGTTTCTCTGAAGTCCGTGGTTCTCCTAGCTCAAATCCATCCGCCCACAATTCATCTCGAGTGATGTAGCAGCACCGACAAAATAGTTTTGCAGCTGGGGACTTCAGCCCAATTATTTGGTGAGCTGCCAAGTCATCACCAATCTGAGCCACAAGAACAGCATGAAATGTAAATGGCATTCCATTAACTTCAATAGTGACACCTTCATTCTCCAAAATTGTCATATCTCGCAAAAATCCTTCCCACACTTTGGCCTTTAAACAATCACTCGCAAAGGACAGGATAGTGACCCAGATGTTACAGAGTAGAGCATTGAGATCTGCAGGTAAATTTTGAATACCAATATAAACACCAGATATCTTGTATACCCCTTGCCTGGCAGATAGAGCTTGAAGCGGCTCAAGATCATCAAGATACAGAATTATTCTGATGGCTTCTTGAAGTTCTGCTGGTAGAGTTGCAAACAATGATCCATCTCTAAAATTTCTTAAATAACCATCATTACTGGACCTCTCACTAAGTATAATAGTTCTCAGGTTGTCATTAGACATTACATGTTTGAGAATAGTAATGATACTCATTGATTGAAATGAATTTGCAACTTGGCTTGGTTGTAGAATGGGTCTGGAGCTGTGCTGTCTTGAGTCAAATCTATTGTCCAAGAATATTTCATTAGCCTCAAGAAGTCCATATTTTTCTTTGAAACATTTCATTTGTTGAGGTTTTGTTTTGATCCTACTGAATGGATCACAAAGGGAAAATTCCCTTAAAAGGCTTTCAACTTGGAACGCATCTTGATTAGGCTGCGATAAAAAATCTGTTACTTTCACCTTTAAATGAGATGCAGCATCCTGCATCATAGAAAAGCACTGTTCCTGTACTGTATTCAAGGCAGAACCAGTCATGTAAGTAATGCCTCTCAACCGCAAAACACTCTTCTCTGCAGAGGACCGTAGATCAACAGGTGCAGGCTCTTCATCAGGATCCTCTTCAGGCTCGAAATCAAAAGCAGGCAGCTGTTCGAAGAAATCCTCTTCAAAGCTGCCCTCTGACCGAACACTTGCAGGAGCAAACCCGGCAGCATCATTTCCAGTTAAAGATGAACCACCTTGAGGGTCATTGGTAGCAACCACAGGAACTGGGAGCACAGGAAAATTGGTGGCACCAAGCAGGTGGTGATCTCGAATATGTCTATAAAGGGAGGGCCGAGACAGAAACTCAGAGAGACACCCATCTTGGCCACAAATGAAAGGTGCGCAATGATCCTTCCTACTGATATGTTCTTTAAAAGATTCAAAACCTCCAGGAACATAAGATTTATGTTTGTAACAAAAAAACTGTGGCAAATAAGCCATGGCCATGAATGGGCTTTACACATTTCCGCTTTACAATTTGCGGATACTACCTTTGATGTAAAATTCTGAACAAGCCTCAGTGATAAAACACTTGTGGAATATATTCACAAATCTTAGTGAATCGTTAGGAGACCAAATTAAGAACTGACTCCTCGTGTTTGAGAGAGAATAAACTCAGAACAAGCACACCCATTGTAAAAATTTATGCTTACTTTTAATGGCCTACAAAGCCCAACACCTGTAAACAAAAACAAATCTTTAGAATGCGACCAGAAATTTCAACCGTTAAGAGTCCACATAATATCACAAACCTTAATTGAAGTTGTGGGCTGCAATGATTAGAAAGAAAAGGGACCTATCTGGAAAAAGAAGAAAAACAAATGTTAAACATTCCGAACGTCGCGAATTCAACTTAACCTCTACAAAGGGACTAGGGGCTAACTCAGCGACACAAGGAACGTCCGGCCAAGTAAACAAACGTAAAGTCATCTCAACTTACTCACAACACTGAGAATTGACCACGATAAAATGCGATTAATCACAGTTGAAATTAAATTACAATTGTATGACCCATCGAGGTTAAGAACCGATGCTTGTGCCGTAACTATAGTTTACCAGGAAATTCAAAACAACTGTTTTAACGATTCGATCTTGGTACGGGACGAATATATGCAATCAGGGGCCGTGAAATCGATAACAATTTAACACTTACAGTTATGGAAAAATTGGATGATCGGAATAGTTAGAATCCGAGAGGGAATGCCATTTCTGAACACAAATTCACCGAACCAAATCCGAACACATGTTGCCAACAGCGATCTATTGCCAACCTTCCCAGAACAAATGAGCATCGGCTTGCGTCTTCTGCTCTACAAATCAAAGAGTGTACATAGTATGCTCTAACTGGAGCATGCCTGCAAGCACGCTCTAGCTAGCGCATGCCTGCCAAGCATGCACTAACTAGAGCATACATGCCATGTACACGCTTCCTGATGCAGAAAACTCCCTATCCCTTATGCAGTAAATGTATGCTTCAGTTAGCGTGTACATGGCATGTATGCACTAGTTAGTGCATGCCTGGCAGGCATGCGCTAGTTAGAGCGTGCTTGCAGGCATGCTCCAGTTAGAGCGTACCATGTACACTCTTTGATTTGTAGAGTGCTGCATCTGCAATTAATGTTTCGTTATTGACAGGACAGGCGGTTGTTTATTTATTTCTTGTCCGAAGCCAAAAGAATTGAAGATATTTTTAGGCATGTCAGTGTCAAGTCACCGAAGACAGCCCTTAGTTGAATTTGAATTGCCCGAATTGGAGGAGCCACCAAATTGCGTTTGGATATCGTCCGGTTTTCCAGTGATGAGTGCTTTTAGTGAGTAGTGTCTATGGCCTAACCAATGTTTGGTTTTGTGTGAGAGAGTGGCAGTGTTACTTTGGAATCCACAAAGGGGGGGTCTATGTTTGACAGCCCTTATGATGAGTTCTTCTTACAAACACTTATCAATTTAGATTGACAGCTCTTAAATTTCTAAGGGTCTTTCTGAAGTAGTATGGTATGGGTAAAAAGAATAGACATGTCTAAGTAGTTTATCAGGAGATTTGTATTTTAGGAGTTAAGTAAATCACCATAACCTTATCAAGCCATTTGAACTCAGCAGCAAAGGGAGAATTTGTTTCTGATATAACAAAAGTTCTATCAAGAACAGACAGGACTGTGCTTGCCAAGATTTGTTCGTGGAGTGCGAAGCAAGTTCTTTGTTACAACGAAGTAGATATCTTCGTTAGATTAGTTCGCTATCTACGAAGGATTTTCTTTGTAGCTTACGAAGTAAATGATATTGCAGAGCTCTGGGTGCTAGGCCAGCTATAAGGTATTCGTTGCTACGAAGGATATTCTTTGTCTGTACGAAGGTTCCCAGTTCTTCGTAACCTTGCGAAGAAATGTGTTCGTATGGTTTTAAGGGTGCAGATTTGCTCATTCGTCTTAGCAGATGCATATTTAATGACATGTGCCTTATGCCATACAACTTTTCAAAATCTTTTACAAATTTACACATCATATTATCAGGAATTTGCAAATCTGCTGAAGAAATACTTTGAGAATTGCAGAAGGATACACCCACAACAAACAACTTGAAATGCTCAAAATACTCCTCCTTATTCATTTTTCTTGAAAATAGAGGCAATGCTACATACAAAAGAAAATTCCTGCAAACAGAAGCTTTCAAAATGACAGTTTGTCAAAAGCAACAAACTCTCTCTGAGCAAAATGTGGCAAGTCCACTGATAACAATATCCTATTGGCTGCACTTAATTTATTGTAGAGAGCCACAAAAGGAACGAAATCGGCAGTGGTCACCCACGCGACCTGCTAATTGGGTCTGGAATGCCCCATGGTATTTTAAGTGGACTTGAAGCCTTGCGACAGATGGGTACCCTTCCAGAAGTGCACTTTTCATCTGATATAGACTAATGTTGCAAACAGATCCAAAGGTTCTACTTTGGATCTGACATTGTTCAGTCGGGTGATATTCGTGACTTGGATAGACAAACAAGTCTTAGGCCACATTGATCTCCTTATTGGCAGCAGGTCCATGCAACAGACTCTGCGTACATTTTCTGTTTTACTGTTTTTATCGGGCCAACCATTTGTATCGAGCAACAATGGTAGTTTGGGATTCTTTTGGTTTAATTGCGCATTTTGCCTTCGTACAGGAGTTGACGCAAGATTGTGGGCTTGTCTTTCAGGCCAAACAGGTCTGTGGAGGGGGTCCCTATGTCTGGCATAGGAACGAGATCGGCTTTGGCGGTTTGGGTACGCCATGAAGAGCGCGTTTCGACACGATTGAGGTGATTCAATATTTATTTAGTTGGCGACTATCGTGTGGAGGCCGCTCAAACTCAGGTGGCACTTGGCACAGGCCGATCAGGCCTGGTTGCCTCGCAGGGCGTCGATGGCGTCCTCGGCGGCGCCGGCGACGACCTTGGTGACGCCCTTGCCGGTGGCGACGGCGACGGACGCGGCGGTCTGCGCAGCACCGACACTAGCGTCGGCGACGCGGCGGCCGACGCCAGCGGCGCCCTGGCCAGCCCTGATGGCGAGGCGGGCAGCCGACTCTCCGCCGCGGACGGCGGCCCTGTCAGAGTAGGAAAATCACGCGTTTGAGAACATTTTTCACAGAGGGCCTGAAGACCGGTGGACGCGGTCAAAATCCCGGACGAGTTGAGTTTCCAAGTCGCTGCATGGGACTAGAACCGAATGTGACCCCACCAATGGATTGTTCTCCGAACGAGGAGTCCATTGGCGGGTTGACGCACTCGGTTCGGCTCCTGTTTCGCGACTCCGGGGGTCGAAACACGTCTCCGCGTTTCGGCCGCCAGCGCCGGTCCTCTGTGTATTGTTGTGCCTCCATACTTGCTGACTTCATGTGTTCAATGCAGGCTGACTTAACTCTCGTGACTTGTTAAAATAAAGAAAAGATTGAAGTCCGTACTGTGGTGGTGCTGGAGACTTTGTATACCACTGGTAAGAGGCCTTTAAAAATTTATTGTACCCTCTGGATTCAAGATGGGTGCACGCTAGACCGTGTCTTGTCGTAACAGGCTTCGCGATGCTGCGCCAGTTTCGACTATCCACGCCTGGCGTTTACACCTACCTCGGCCTGCGGCTCTTCATGCTTGCTTTCTCAGGAATTTATGGTGAAGCAATGAGTAGAGCATTCGGTGATGAAGGGTTAGAAGAGAGTTCATGGTCGAAAAAGAAACCCATATTTGTACTCAAGCAACAACTCATTGCAACCGCCGACGGCCTGCAGAAGCGCAAAACGAGTCCGTGGCACCGATTGCTACAACTCAAATAGTCGGGCTCCTGGACCCCCTTTCTGAACCCTCGTTAGAAAGGTTTTGCTGAAACCTATCGAAAATGATGACAATAATTTTGAGTCGGTCAACCCCTGTTTCCCAAGACACTACTCTGACCAATCCACGAAGTCGGCCTCCTGGACCCCCTTCGACCCCTCGTTTGAAAGGTCGTGGCGAAACCTATCGGAAACCACATTAGATTTTTCAGTCGGACGACCTCCTTTTGCCCCGATCCTGATCTGGCCAACTGCCGAAGTCGGGCTCCTGAACCCCCCCTTCCGACCCCTCGTGGAAAAAGTCGTAGCGAGACTTATCGTGAACCGCAATAAAGTTTTTCAACCGGTCGACCCCCTTTTTCCGAGATCCTTATCTGGTTTTCCGTGCCCGTTTACACGAGTTTCCATGGAACAAGTTCAGACGTTCCTTCTTCTGTACGTGTCAGGTCATTTTCCCAGAAGGCATTCATTCAGTAAAAACTCTGCAAAGAATCGCGTCCTAATACAAAGGAAATGAAGGCATTGTAAAATCCACGAATACGAAGGTACTCTGCGAACAAAGGCTTTCTAGAGTGCACTTATGAATTTCACGTGCGAGCTTTATCACTGCATTTCGCACTATTGAAGATATTGCAGGTCATTTCGCGGTTCAGTCCACCCGCCACCATTTCGCGGAATTTTGCCACTAGTTGTCATTTCGGAGTCATTTCGTTATTATTTTATTCAGATGCTGTGCCAACTGTGTGGCGTGTCGATTTCCACTCGTATTTTGCGTGTCAAAGTACGGAATTTGTAACAATGTCATCGTCACTGATAGCCGACGAATGTGACGTTACGTTCGTTTTCACGTGAAAACAACGATGTTAGTTTCAGGTTGGGTAAGAAAAGTACACTCGAGGCTCGGGTAAGAAAAGTACACCCGTTATATCTCCGAACTGAAACTACACTGAACCATCACGTTAGTGGTTTTAGAAAGATTGGTCATCCCGCTGACAAAAAATAAATTTAGCCCAGTTCTACATATAATATTTAGAATCAAACTGCACGTTTGAAAAAAACATTAAAAATAACAATGAAAATCTTTTTTTTAAATGTTTGTACTTTGAAGTACAGCTTCCTGCAGAATCAGCCGACAGTCCAATGTAAGGTACCACCTTATAGCTTAGACCATCATCTTTGAAAAACAGTGCCGTTCGATGCTCTTAGGCTTCAACACAATTTTTTATTAGTGTAAAAATGAAATGGGGAAGAAAAGTACAGTCGGCTGGGGAAGAAAAGTACAGGCACTGGGGAAGAAAAGAACACCCTCTAAGAAACTAAAAGCGGGATGAAAATTGAATTGATCACGGAAATAGATTTGATTAGGCGAGACAAGCAAAAAATGTCAACACAAGTTATAGAATTAGAGTAGAAATGAACAAGTTATTGGGCATTTACGTGAAAAGGGGAAGAAAAGTACAAAAATGCTGTGCCCACTTACCTCTGAGAAAAGGCTTTTTTGGACCTTCTATCATGAGTCCATGTAGAATCAGAACCAATTGACCGATTTTGACGAAACTTGAACTGATGGCAAGTGAAAGCTCTCCACTTTATGGCTAAACCTGTATTGAGCCAAGATTGGCGGTCTCCTGGTTCGAAATCGCAATTCTTTTCGTTGTACTTTTCTTTCCCGGTGGTGTACTTTTCTTACCCTTTTCGAGGAGTTCCGAAATCACATACATTTTGGCATGTTGTACGTAATGTAGGGAACTATAATCAATGAACAGTGATCCATTTCGTTAGGAAGGCATTGGATTACAAGTTCACGAGAGCAGAATAGTTGAATCCTCATTTGAAACTTCTGTACAGTGCAAAGTACGCGTTTTGTACTTTTCTTCCCCAACCTACCCCTACACGGTGAAAATTTACGTTCAAACGAATGTGACACTGCACCGCTTGAACTTCGGGTGTGACACGTCATCACACTCTCATTCCAGGAACGTGACATCACGTTGAAACGAACGTGACAAAATGTCACGTTCGTTTGAGCATTGTGTCACGTTCGTTTGAATGTGAACAAGCTGGTTTTTGGCCAATTCACACTCAAACGAATGTGACACAATGCTCAAACGAACGTGACACGTTCGTTTCAGCGTGATGTCACGTTCCTGGAATGAGAGTGCAGTGGGTGAACTGTCACATTCAAACGAATGTGACACATGGTACCGACACCTGTCGTGTCACATCCGAACGAATGTGACACCCATGTACTGTCACGTTCGTTTTAATGTGACATGCCTGAATTGTCAGACAATCATGGCGTGTCACATTCAAACGAACGTGTTAAATTGGGCATGTCACATTCAAACAAATGTGACTGTACATGGGTGTCACATTAGTTTAGATGTGGCACGACATGTGTCCATAGGAGCCACGTGTCACATTCGACTGAATGTGACAGTTCGCCAGCTGATTGCGTGTCACACTTGAAGTAACGTGACCAAGCGGTGCAATCTGGCACATTCGTTTGACAGTAAATTGCCACTGTTTGTCACGCTTAAACTAACATCGCCGTTTTCACGTAAAAACGAACGTGGGGTCACATTCGTCGGCTACCAGTGGTCCCATCCCTACCTGGCGGCGCCAGCGCCCAGGTTGGTGGCGCCCTGTCCGATGGAGAGGCCGGTGCCTGCGGCGCCGCGGGCGAAGTTGACGCCACCGCGAGCGACGTTGCCGACAGCGCCGGCGACTCCGCCAAGGCCGAAGCCGTCGGCGACCTCCTCAGCAGCGGTGATGCTGTTGAGGGCCAGGTCGGCACCGATGTTGGCGGCGGCGCGGGTGCCGTTCAAACCAAGGGCAGCAACGGTCTCCCCGGCGGCGACGAGTCCGCGGGCGCCGCCGGCGGCGAGGGTGGTGGAGCCGGTGGCCAGCCCCAGGCCAGCGTCGGCCGTGCCCTTGGCCGCACTGATGCCCAGCTTGGCGCCGGTGGCGGCGGCGTTGGCGGCGACCTGGCCTGCCTCCAGGCCCACGAGGGTGGCCGTCTTGGCCGCGCCGATGCCCGCCTTGGCCGCGTCCAGGGCCAGGCCGAGGAACCGACGCTCGCGCACCAAGGCGCCAGCGTTCGCCTGAAACAGAGGACAAGTTCATGAGCACGCCTCCACTCTCTTCGGCGTACACAGGATCACTTTAAAAAATTGCATACTTTTGTACGGAAATGGTATAGAAAAATACAGTATGGAGGTACGGAGAAAAGTACGGAACGTTCCGTACTTCACGGCAAAAACTTTGTCGTGTTTTACAAGGACCGGTCACCTCAGCTAAGGGTCTTGGCCCCTGGTCCTTAGGTAAACCCGTCTGGCTAAGGTAGCTCCTTAGCCAAGCGTTTGTTTACATGTCCGCCATGAGCTTATAACCTAACCGATGCTTCACACTCAAACGAATTTAACCGAGTAAAGGTAGTTAAAGTTTCAGAAAATACCAAGGTAAAATGTGCGATTTTTCCATTTCGAGTGCTCGTTTGCCTCTGGGTGATCTGGTTCATTCACGTTCGTGAAATATGTGGTCGGCTGAGGGAGCGCCGTAGCGTAAACATAATCCAAATTTCTTTCAGCAATCCTTCCTTCTTTTTGAAAAGCGAGTACAGAATCGGGTTCAGCGTTAAATTTTACGTAAGCAAACATGTTACGTCGATTTTATTGGTTATTTTCTGCATTCCTACAATTGGCAAATTTGAGGTTAAAAATGGCGGACGTGAAAACGAACACGCTGGGCTAGTTTGGCTAAGAAGCTACCTTAGCCAGAGGGGTGTCCCTAAGGATCAGGGGCCAAGACCCTTAGCTGAGGTGACCGGTCCTTATAAAACACGACAAAGTTTTTACCGCGTTGCTCCATATGAACCCATGTAAATGCGTACGGAATAACAGGAAAAGTAGCGATTTGCATCGGCAACTTTGGCCCGTCCCGTACAGTAAGATACGTACGAATTTCGCCTATGTTTGACTCTGACGGGAATTAAACCTGAGTCTGGGGTTAAAATAAATGTCGTTTTCGTCATCAGCACCCTCAAAAACGTCAGAAACAATGCAAAAACTCGAATAAAAAGAATGTTCAAAAAATACCCCGCTGGGATTTGAACCCGGGTCCGAACTTCTCCGATTCTCTCGAAACTGGCACCATTGGTTTTTTCTCGTCACCCCGATTCCAAAAATACCCCTACATGCCCTGCTAGCTGTATCCGTTGCCGAGATCCTCCTCGACCCCATGTAGACCATGATGCACCTGCAGCAGCGACCCCGGGGCTCGGATCGGATTTGCTGCCACCGGGCGGTTCTTAGGGTCACCCAAGGAGGCTGCATACCAAATTTGGTCAAGATCGGACCACGGGAAGTCCTCGGACGGACGAACGGACGGACGGACGCACAGCAGGGATCATACTATATGCCCGTCCCTCCGTCATTTTTTTTTACAAACAAGCTAGGGCCCGCCCTTCCGTCGAATCGAGTTGCCAGCTCCGCTTCGCTGCGCCGGCAACTCGGTTCGACAGGGGGCCGGCCCAGCTTGGCCTGCCGGCGGCCTTTTCTCGGGCCTTCGGCCCTCGCATCAGTCCCAACTTGGCCAGTCGAAGGCCCGGGCCTTCGGCCCGCTCGCATCACACACACCGTGAGCGGGTAAAGCAAAGTTATCGATGTACCACACTGTAAAAAATTCCGTACTTTTGTACGGAAATGGTACAGAAAAATATAGTACGGAGGTACGGAAAAAAGTACGGAACGTTCCGTACTTGCTCCATATGAGCCCATGTAAATGGGTACGGAAAAAAAGTACGGAACGTTCCGTAGTTGGCAAGTACGGACGTTCCAGGCAAATTATTGACCAGACATGTTCCGTACTTTTTCCGTACCTTTTTTCTCACAGTGCATCGTGACTTAGGCCCGCCCTTCTATTCACAATACCCTATGCAATAGTCCTTACACTTTTTACTCCAACTGTCCTTAGAATATGCCCATTTCTTTTGTCTCTTCGCCCTCATTCCGAAAATACCCATATTTGCAATGCTACTGCAACTCCTTGCAATAGAGGCACAGCAGGAGCGCAAAACGAGTCCGTCGCACTTTTTCCCATAACTCATGAAGGCGGGCTCCTGGACCCCCCTTCCGACCCCTCGTTGAAGAGGTCTTGCCAAGACCTATCCAAAACTTAAGTAAAAATTTTCAGTCGGTCGACCCCCTTTTTTCAAGATCCTGATGTGACTAATAGACGAAGTCGGGCTCCTGGACCCCCTTTCCGACCCCTCGTTGAAAAGGTCTTGCTGAGACCAATCGAAATCTGCAATAAATTTTTTTAGTCGGTCGACCCCCTTTTTTGAAGATCCTGATCTGGCCAACTTGTAAAAGCGGCCGATGGGGTCGGGACCAGGTCCATTCATCTTGTCTCGTCGCCCCGATTCCAAAAATACCCCTATGTGCCCTGCTAGCACCAATAATGGCGGAAATCCCCCTCCCGCTCATCTAAACCATGATGCACCTGCAGCAGCCCTTGTGCGACCCGGACGGGATTTGCACCACCGGATTATTTGTTTGGACGGTACTCCTGAAGTACCCTCCAAATCTGGTTACTCTAGCTCAACTCCTTCCTTGTACACAGACGCCAACAACAACAACAACAACAACACACAGACACAAAGGCAAATGCATAGGCCCTCCCCCTATTTTTTGAATAGAAGGGCGGGCCAAACAAATGCATAGGCCCTCCCCCTATTTTTTGAATAGAAGGGCGGGCCAAAAAATGAACGGGACGGGCCAAAAAAGGTACGGAAGTTCCGTAATTGGCAAGTACGGACGTTCCAGGCAAATTATTGACCAGACATGTTGCGTACTTTTTCCGTACTTTTTCTCAAAGTGATTAAGGGATATGAATCTATTCAAATACATATTTCAATTTAAGGGAAAATTCCGTGAAGTTACGGCATGGATCAGTAGATCATACCAGTGAAGTTGTATACATGGTTTCCGGGATGGTGGCTTCTTCAAGTTTGAATGACGAGGTCCACTTGAGTTGTTTGCTCATTTGGGGTTAAGACCCGTCCTGTATCGAGTACTGTTCTCACGAGAGCGGACTTTTATTTCAGTCGGATCTATGCTGCCTTACTTTTACTTTGCCAACTCAAAAGTACACTCATTCGGCGTGTACTTACAAATTAAATCCTAAGATAATGTACTCAGTTGAACAAACTCGCACCGGAGCGTACTCAGGTGAGCACGTGCTGAAGACAGTGCACTGAAAACACGTGAATTCGTGGAGTGTGTCTGCACGCGGTGGGTTTTATTTTCACGCAATGCTGACTAACATACTGCACTTTTATCCAAAGTGTGACAGTGAACTCGTTTTGATACCATTCTATTGCGTCATTGGCGCAATGAAAAAGTTATTGCACCGCAGGTTTGTCATACATATTGTATTACATTAACGCATGTTATCACGATATCAACCCAAAATGCGACAGTCTGGGCCAAGTAAAGAAATTTATTGCATTTTTAACGCGATATTTTTTAGGTAAGTTGAAGGAATCACATTAACATGCCCAGTTGAGTCCAGGCGTGTACATGCCAGGTTGGCTTCAGATGGAGTGTTCTTGCGGGCATGATTCAACCAGAAGTATCCGTACAAACTTGAGTTTGTAGAGTCATCACATCAGTGCCCCGTGTACCCCGGACACCCCCAAAATCGCCCGGTGATGCCTGTATCTTTGCGAGCCCCATGGACATTGGTGCGCTCTCATTACGTGACTGAATTTTTACTCGATTTGTCAAGTGCAAGAAATTTGTGCGAACATCAAACTTACTTTTCGTTTCTTTGAGAACTACTAAGGGATTGTCAAGTGGTGTTCTTTCAATTTATTTTTGTGAATAATTTTGCAAAGAAGATAAGTCATACCTACTTGGAAAACTCAGAGTATTATTTTTGCTTAATGTACTTATTGATTAAGAGTAACGTCCTGAGAGTGTGCAGGTGTATAATGGTCTTCGTCAGGTAAAATAGAATCTCCTTCACTCATGAATGAATTGCAAATAGGGTTTCGTGAAATTCAGAGGTGGGACAAGGAAGGTCAACAACGGTGGAAAACATGTGTCAAAACATGAACAATGGGCTTGAGAGCTAACCAGACCCGAACAGGACTCGACCCTTACCCAAACCTCCTCTTATTGGCTCAAAACTAGTCGCTATGATCTCATGGTTGTGGTTAAAATACCCTTGTTGCTTGCTATTCTCGCGTTTTTACTAAGACCTCAGATTCGATACCCACATTCTTATCACCTCTGAAAGACTTACCTGGCAGACGCAGGCCACAATAAGGATACCAATACCGAATGCCTTCATGTTGACTGCAGCTCCGCAGGTACTGACGGGCCAAGGACGAGCGCGGTCTGTTTTATACTGTGTGCCGAACAGGTGTTTCATCCACGGGACTTGCTTCGAAACAGCCTGATCCGTTTTAGTCTTGTGTGAGCCTCGCCGTGTTTGAAGTACTCAGCCTGCAGAAGTCAGCACCGCAAACAGATGATACATGCGTGAACGAACAACCGATTTACGGCATTTGGGCCTCGACACGTGCGAGACGTCATAGTTTTGGTCAATCAAAGCAACACCGGAAAATAACCGAAGCTTCGCACTTGTGCCTACCGACGGGTCGCCAACTCGCGTATCATATTACTCCATAAGTCATAAGGCATATTACTTGAGTCTTCACAGTTGAAAGTGAACGAAATTTAATGAAATTTATAGCATTATTTTCAGTAAACGTCATTAATTTTAGTAACATCTGCACTTTTACTTCACGCATTTCAGAACAGTGAAATGACAATGACGTAAGATGGTTTTGACATAATATCTGCGCTGGGTCCGCAAAGTTGTTTGGGGTGGATCCAGATCTGCTTCAACGGATTGTGGGCCCTTAATGGACAGAAACAATGATTGAATTAGAATCCGACAAGTCACAAAGGAAAATGATAAAATTACTTCAATGACAACTTACAATAGTTGACAAGAGTTCGTCCAAAGCAATAGAATGAGGTGATTTATTAGCAGTAACACCCTCATTGTCAGACTCAGTGGGAATTACCACAGTCTTTTCAGCAACCTGCACACATAGGAGCGATTCTCACGTTTCGGGGTAGTTTCGTTTCTTCTGACTCCTGTGCCCAAACGAGCGCAGATATTGACATGGGGTTTGCTTCTGATGTTAGGGAGGGCCATTGCCTACCGTAAACCGGGGTAACTTGAGACAATATTTCACGTTTTTTGGACCGTGTGTCCACAAAACGTCTCTCACCAACCCGAATCCCAACCATGTTTAATTTCACATGATTACAATCGGTTTGGACCCCACGAATTTTTTGGGGGTCTCCTAAAATGAGAGTATTGGGCCTCTAAAGTTGTCTCAAGTTACCCCGTCATTTGGGGTAACTTGAGACACACCCAGCTTTTACTTTGCTTTTTCACGGAAGTGGGGTTTTTGTCAGTCCATACTGATTTTCTGAGACATGTAACTTATTTTCAATGAAAATTAGTACTTGTGGAATATATAAGAAGAATTTTGATCCATATAGTAAGAATTTTTCATCGAAGTTACATTTGGTAATTTTAGGGATAACGGCACTTCAGAAGCGCAACGATTCTCCCATTTCACATCCAACCCTGTCAACTAAGTACAGCGATTCTCTCATTTCACATCCAACCCTGACACCTGTTAAGACATTTTTCTTTATTTCTACGTACACAAGTCAATTCCTGCAAAGGTACATCGTCTTAGTCAATTTTTAAAATTTACTCAAAATCCTTTAACAATTTTTACAACTGTTTTTCTTCAAAGAATCGACGGTTCTTGGGCTATAAGTTGTCCGATTTCAATGACATTAAGATCGTTGGAAAGGTAATTAAATTCCCCATCTTTTGAGACTTCAAGATTTATTATATCTCATCTGGTCCGTGTGTAGTTGAGAAAACACTCCAACTTTAAGCTGCATATCCACTTGGGACCCTCTACACTGTCTTAAAAAAGTGATTTCCGATCAAATACGGCTTAGTTTTGGTCTTAGAACGGAGAGGTCCGTTACTTTAAACCACCCTGTAGTACAAGGAGGTGCCAGTGTCAAGTTACGCCACTCAACTTCCGTCAAATTCAATGAAATTTGGTGTCTCAAGTTACCCCGCACAGTTACCATTTTCTATAAAAGTCAGTATTATCCGATGAATGATGGGTTTCCCTCTAAACCAATGCTGCATTTAGAATGTTGAAATTATAGGGTTGAAAGGTACTACAGTCATTTGGGTCCCAGCAAGACGTGTTTCGAGTACCAAGGGAGACTTGTAACACTTCTCTAAAATTGTTAAATTTACTAAAATTTAAAAATCGTTACAGAACTGACCAGCTTGGTCCTAACCCGCCGTTCATACGCTTAATCGTCTTTCCAAACATGTATGAGAGAAAGTGCTAGGGCAGTTTCGACCTCCGAATGTGCCGAGCCAGGTGGCAGCTCCAAAAAGGTGGAAAAGCAGAAGTGTGTCAAGTTACCCTTGCTGTCTCAAGTTACCCCGGTTTACGGTACGTCGTAGAGATTGTCAAAGCCAGCTGGTCATCGAGCTTCAAATGCCCTTGCAGAGCTGCGGCAGCTAGGCTGCCGGCGGGCCAGTCTGGCCCGGCCAGAAAGTCCTGGTTTAAAGTCTCCGACGAACATTTTTTCTCAGCACTATTTGCTGCATGCTAGGGTGCATGTTACTTACAATAATCACAAATATAGAATGGAATGTTTTTTAGATTTACAAAGTATCTTGTAAATTGATGTTTACGATGAATTTTTGGATTTCACGGCATATTTTATCAACTACGTTTTACAAAGCTCTCGTTTATAAAACTTTCCAGTGAAATCTTTGTAAATTTACGAGAAATTTTCGAACAGTGAATATTGATAAGGGGGCTACGGAAAATAACCACAAGCTGTTAACAGAATTTTCCGTAGTTTTTTTGCCACAGTGCATCTCCCCGTGATCGCCTCCCCTTCCTTATTCGAGAGGTCCTATTCAAAATATCTTATCTGTGCGTTCCCCCCAAGACAATCTTATCTTAAACGCAGGTGAATTTCACATAGTTTGATCATTTGGTACAGTTACATATCAATATAATTTGTGAAATTGTTCAAGTAAATCTAAAGATGGAAGATTAAAGAAACCAAAAGTGCATGTAACCGTCGTATTTATTCTGATTGATCAAAATGAGTGAAATTTGCCGGCGTTTAAGATAAGATTGTCTTGGGGGGAACGCCCAGATAAGATCTTTTGAATAGGACCCCTCGTATTTTCCTGTCCCTCCAGAAGCTTTAATTCATAGTCGCGAGGGGGTGGAGTGAAGTTCCCATCACCCCCGCGCCCTCCCCCGGCCCCCTGGCTTGGCCGTCTTCGGGAGGCAGGTTGACCGCCCCCCTCTCTTTAACCTGCACACACAAACACACACACGCACCCGTGACTGCCACTCCTGCCACTCGACTGGACTGGTAGCGGCTGCCCCACCGCAGCGCGGCGCAAGGTGAGGCGGTGCGTCATCCACTGTTATTACCATACCACTTGAGAGTAACACGGGGACGGGGGGGGGGGGGGGGGAAGACTGACAAAGAGAACGAGTCTGGAGGAGGCAGCGAACTCGCGCAGAGCATCCTCAGTATGCTGCCGACACTGTCGGACGCAAGCAGCCTTCAGCATGCGGGCTCCTCCGCTGGTGTTCGTCTTCGTGCACGCCTTGCTGTTCGTGTGCGCTCACGGTAAAGTTGTCGTTTCTTCCTTGAATCTGGTTCAAAATTCTAGGGTCGGGAAGAATGCCCCGTCAAAATAAAGCGTGAACCAGTTGCTTGCTTCACATTGCAATGCGAATCTGGTGGCAAGTTTGCTTTGCACAAAATTGGCAAGCCTCGATCTCAGACCTTCAGCAGCTTGCCAGTATTTGGTGCTCCGGCTGCGTGCAAAGCCCAATTTTGGCAAAGTGAGAAGTGCTTCGGGGCCGGGGTAGCCAATTTTGAGTGTGGTGGCAACATTCGAAGTTTTTCATAATGCGTCCGCACCGCAGTCATCTCAGGTCGGGTCACCGATGCGCATCCTCAGCCTGTTCAATGCGAGAAAAGACTAAAGAAAGTTCTGTTCATTTTAACACCACCTAGGCCCTCTCCGTACGCTAAACCACGGAGGTCGTTGTCTTCTTACACAGACAAAATCTCACAAACTATTTCAAGCCTTTCAAAAGAAAAGCAGCTTTTTATGACAAAGTATACGTTTTAATAAACGTATCCAAATATGTCTACTAACTTCGGTATGGTTTTAATAATGTTTTCCTTGGGCTATAGGGATGATTGAAGGCCAAAGTAAAGACCATTTTTTTTTATCTTCAAAATGCCGCAAACCGATCGCCAAAAAGTTAAGAACTTCCGGAGAAAAATGTCGCGCAGTGAAATTTTGTATGTTTTGCCGGCTTTTGTTGCACTACCTATAACTCCCTTACAACTAAAGACAAGACAAAATATTTTCTTTTGAAAATGTTGTAAAAGTTCTGTTTTTTCATTTGGTTTTTACCGTTTGTCTTTAAGAGGTATATTTATAAAAATCATCGCCATCAAAAGAGGGGGAAAACCCTCCTAAAAAAGGGTGCAGGGACGAGACTGCCCCCTTAAATATACAGAACTTTCCGTAGTTTTTTTTCGCAGTGTTACATTTACGTGCGCAGCTAAACGAAAAAAAGAAATAGACCTTAAAATAACAGGAAAAAAGTGATACGCATCGGCAACTTTGGCCCGTCTCATACATTTTGAAATGTGCAAATTTTGGCTATGTTTCAACTAACTGAAACAACAGTTTTCGAAAATACTACCCCATTATCAGCAGTCAACCTGTAGTCTCACTACAATAACACGAAAAGTTGCAATGCACATCGGCAACTTTGGCCGGCCCCGTACTTTTTGAAATGCGCGATTCACGTATAGAATAACAAGGTAGGTTTACGCCAGACCGCGTCTTGTCGTAACAGGCTTCGCGATGTCTCGCTGCCTGTTCCTTCAACCCGCGCCTGGCGTACCTACCTTGGCCTGCGGCGCTAGCCTGCCTTTGGCAGGCATTGGCTTGTCCAGCGTCCGTTACTTCTTACCTGTTGCAAGCTGGAAGGCTCCGCCCCCCAGACCCCCCTTCATTCTAGATAGAGTTGCTTTATCTACAGATAACACGATCTTGACCCTTGTACCTTTTTAACTTGCCGAGGATAGGGGCTCCTTCCCCCAGACCTCCTGTCTTCAAGACACAAGACAGAAGTGATCTGCCTGCAGAAAACTCGATTTTTCGCCGATTTTAAGTGTTTTTCCGCTATAAAAACTGAACCAGTTGAGCTAGGATAGTGAAATTTCGCGTGTGCCGAGCCAAGAACATACCTAATGAGCCTGCAAAATCTCAGCCAAATCGGCCGAGCCGTTCAGGAGTAGTGTACACACACAGACAGACAAACAGACAGACAGAAAAAGTTTTTCAACCCCACTGGAGTAACAGGCTTCGCTATCGCTCAGCCAAAAATAGATATTATTTTCGTCATCAGGTCTTTCTTCCGCAAGATAGTTTGAGAACGTCCCGCACTTGGATGCTTTTTGGTTGAGCGATAGCGAAGCCCGTTACTCCAGTACGGTCGAAAAGTTTTTTCTGTCTGTCTGTCTGTGTGTCTGTCTGTGTGTGTGTACACTACTACTCCTGAACGGCTCGGCCGATCTGGCTGAGATATTGCAGTCTGATTAGGTATGTTCTTGGCTTGGCACACGCGAAATCTCACTATCCTAGCTCAAGTGGTTCAGTTTTTATAGGCGAAAAACATCTAAAAGCTGTGAAAAATCGAGTTTCCTGCGGGCAGATCACTTCTGTCATGAAGAAAGGGGGGTCTGGGGGGCAGCCCCCCAGCCTCGACAAGTTAAAAAGTTACAAGGGTCAAGATCGTGTTATCTGTAGACGAAGCAACTCTAGAATGAAGGGGGTGGCTGGGGGGCTCAAGGAGTAACCGATGACCGCCGATGACGGACAAGCCAACGCCTGCCGAAGGCAGGCTAGCGCCGCAGGCCAAGGTAGGTACGCCAGGCGCGGATTGGAGGAACAGGCCGCCAGACATCGCGAAGCCTGTTACGACAAGACGCGGTCTGGCGTAAACCTACCTTGTTTTTAATATGACATCTCTTGGACCACAGCTGCAGGTTGGGACCGCCAAGAAGTGAGATGCAGCCCGGGCGCGCGCTGCGTCCCGCTCACGAGTTGCCCCGAGGCCCTGCAGAGGCTACAGGATGACCCCTCACGCCACCCTACCATGTGCGGCTTCCCCAAAGGCAGTGCCACTGTTCCCGACGTGTGTTGCGGTCAAACGCCAAAAGAGACAGGTATGCACTGAAGCACTATTCAAGTGTGTTACACAGTGTTATGTCTTACAAGTATGTGGATAGCATGCCTCTGCCTGAGGTTGAAGCATGCCTACACTCGATGCTGGGGCATGCCTGCATGTACACTCAGCGTCGTAGAATTGTTCTATTGAGTTGTCATGGATGAGTGATGAGTCAGGAATGCTTGAATCCAAACAAAAGAATTCTATATATCTTTGAAAGCAGAAACTACAAGGTAGGTTTACGCCAGACCGCGTCTTGTCGTAACAGGCTTCGCGGTCTCGGGGCCTGTTCCTCCAATCCGCGCCTGGCGTACCTACCTTGGCCTGCGGCGCTAGCCTGCCTTCGGCAGGTATTGGCTTGTCCATCGACAGTTAGTCCTTACTTGTTGCATGCTGGGGGGCTCCGCCTCCCCACACCCCCCTTTCATCAAGACAGGAGAGATCTACCTGCAGAAAACTCGATTTTTCGCCACTTTTTAGGTGTTTTTCGGCTATAAAAACTGAACCAGTTGAGCTAGGAAAGTGAAATTTTGCGTGTGCCGAGCCAAGAACATACCTAATGAGCCTGCAAAATCTCAGCCAGATCGGCCGAGCCGTTCAGGAGTAGTAGTGTACACACACAGACAGACAGACAGACAGACAAACAACAGACAGACAGAAAAAGTTTTCCAGCTCCACTGGAGTAACTGGCTTCGCTATCGCTCAGCCAAAAACACGAGGCACAATTTTGGCAAAAACAGCTCTCCACTCAAAACACCTTGAAAAGTATTCTCCGGCATTGTATTGCAAACTCTCTTACAAACTATTTTCTTTGCATTGCGAAGTATTTCTTTGCAACTTGCAAAGAAAATGCTTTGCAACGTTACGAACTTATGCTTCGCAGCGTTGCAAACTTTTTTCTTCGCAACTTACGAACTATTACTTTGCAATGCGAAGAAAAAAGTTCGCAAGGGAGTTCGTAATACAATGCCGGAGAATGCTTTGTACTGCAAAGTACTTTTCTTTGCAAGCTTTTCTGAGTGTATTTTCACTTTACAGTTTCCTTAAAGTTCTTATACTCTCATCCCAGCAACGTGACATCAAGTTGAAACGGATGTGTTAAAATGTCACGTACCTTTGAGCATTGTGTCACGTTCGTTTGGACGTGAATTACCCATTAATTAGCTTATTCACGTTGAAACGAACGTGACAGAATGCTGAAATGAACGTGACATTTTGTCACATTCGTTTCAACGTGATGTCACGTTCCGGGAATGAGAGTGCTCGCGCAAGAAACTATGTATCAAGAAAGAAATCGTTCCACAGATTGTTCAGCGGCGACTTCGGTTCGGGACGTTCACCCTCCCACGATCTCCTGCAAGGAGCTGCTGGAAAAGCCATACGCGGAAGATTCAAAGAGTCCAGGAAGGGTGGCTCGGAAAAGTAAGTATGGGTCCTCAGTGAGGCTTTTGCAACCACTCAAAGGGGACGTTTTCAGGTGTCAGTAGCCGATTGCTCTCATACTTCGGTATCTCCAAGGCCACAAAAAATAATTTTCGGCACCCACAGTTCGTGCTGAAAGTCACTACAACGCCCAAATGAAAGTTGAAAATTGACCAGTTTTCATAAAAATGTCCAAAAACTTATTTTTATTAGGAACAAAAGTCTCCACAAGGTCTGTAACGTTCAAAACTATGATTTTTTTTTTCGATTTTGGAGCAAAACTATATATCTGTTCCCTCAAAAGTACTCAAAAGAACTTGAAAAAAAAATTGAATCATGTTTTTGACCAAAAAGTCGTTTAAGTGACTTTCAGCACGGACTGAGGGTGCCGAAAATTTTTTTTTGAGGTGGCCTTGAAGATCCCAAAGTATGGGAACAGTCGGCTTCTGACACCTGAAAACGTTGTCAGGGGTCGACATAACACGCTTTAAACCTTACGAAGTATTTACGAGCATACATAATACAAACTAATTCACTTTGTTATACGAAGAAGTAGTTTCTTTGTACGCTTATGTGTGCTCAAAATACTTCGTTGTAACAAGCTTCTTTCTTTAAAGGGCCTAAAATTGTTAGTAAGGTTTCCAGAGTGAAGGCCTGATAGGCAACGCATCGGCAACGCACAGTGAGCGAGACGTCCGCGGCCAAAACTCTAGACGCAGTTGGAGCTCCAACAGGACTCGAACCGAGCGTGTGATGAGCGTGGATTCCTTGTTCGGAGCGCAATCCGTTGGTGGAGTCACGCGTTCGGTTCCAGTCCCAGTTAGCAGCTATTATGGAGCTCGAAACGCGTCCAGGATTTTCGCTGCTAATTCCACTGGTCTCATGGCCCTCTGTGCAACGGCTCACGGAACTGGAACTGAAATTGGGCATCACTGTAGCTTAACGGCTGATTTGCCAAAGAAATTTGATGCATCTACGTTGCACTAAACAGACTCACTATTTTTTTTTTTGTATTGTCCAGTGTGCAGAAAGCATCAAGAGGACTTGTGCGCCTTAGAGCAAAAGCTCCGTTCAGCAGCATGTCCTTCTGCAGGAATGGTGACGGACATTTTGGAATTTCCGCACATGGTAAGCAAATAGTTCACATTCATAGCCTTGAAATTGTCAAGGTGACAGCTTAAATTTCACTGTTGCGGCCACATAGAAAATTGAGTGAATGATTGCGGGAAGACTTCAAAGTTGGGACGGTAAAATGCAGGGTTGTGTAAGATATTGTCGTCTGTTCATTCAAAAAACGACAATATTCAAAGAGTGAGGCATCTGGTCGAGTTTTGGCGTTAAAAATTGTATGACCCAAAATGGGCCATTCACAAATGTATGACCGAAAAAAGGTCATACTTCAATGTAAGACCGAAAAAAAGGTCAGACATCTGCGAGACTGGCCCTTGATTAACGTGGGGATACACTCTGAAAGTTGCAGGGAGAAGATTCTCTATATTATGGTAAAAATGCTCCATGTTTGGAGAAGACTTAGTGGTGCAGCCTTTCACCGTAAGTTATTTACAGTGTATATCAACCTTTATCAGAAATACAAAAATGTATGACAAATTTTCGGACATGTGTTTCGGACCCTTTTCCGGACATCCATTTCTGAATCCCCTTCAAAGGGTCAAAAGTCTAACCTTTCTATTTTCAGTGAATAATGAAAAACATTGAACATGGAACCCTGATATTGAGATTTGTGAATCACGTCTATTCCGATAGGGACCTCAGGTTTACAAACAACATTCACGTCCTGACACGGGCATCCGTGTCGTGCAGCAACCCTCACTTGGTGTTCTGCCCAGGCTGGAGGTGCCTGGTCTCGGGAATGGCGCCGGGCCTGAAGCGGGTGGGGCTCGGCCTGCCGCTGGGACTGCCGCCCGGTCGCATCCAGGAGGGGAGGCCTTGCGGGGGGCTGCCGTGGCTGCCCGTGCTCCTCGCGGGTGAACCGGTCCCGCGGGGAGAGGGGGGCGGGGAGCTCGTCATGCCTTTGCCTCCAGTGCAGCAGGGCACGCCACACGCCAGCCCCTGCCAAATGAAGCACATTCACAATTTCAGATCTTGATGCGTCCTCACCGATTCTCCCCCCAAATTAGTAAAAATGAGTAAAAAAGATAAATGATGACATCCAGACCATCGTTGGGGGGGGGACGACATTTTCCCGTACGCACAGTGACCGGCGGCAGTATTACGCGCTCAATGTTTATTTAAAATATTGTACGTGGTGTTACATTGTTTTAAACCTGTGCCACGTTTTGCATAACATTGCCCTCAAATTTGCTAAAATTTATGCATTTTCATGCATAATACCAAGCAAATTCAGTGAACGCACAGAATTGTGCAAGTTACTCGCACTGTTAGAAATAAGCTCCGAAATTTTATGGAGAAAAACCCTATAATCACGTACATGCAACCTTCTCTCAAAAATTGAACATCTAGTGACAAATAGTATACTCTGAAATTTCCAGGGCTTCGGCGTCGTGGTTTGGAAGGAACTTCCCGATAACTAAGTCGTCTCGTACGAATTTTTTTGAGATTTTTCTGATGAATGGATTCCTTATAGTATTTTGACTCTCACCTTACCAGAAATCAGTTCTTTAGGACGCTATTTAAGAGGCAGTGTTTTCATTCGCATGTTGCAAGTGTCAAGGTACGGTTGATCTGCTCCCCCACGCGTGGTTGTTGTGGCACCCAAAAGTGCTGACTACACGGACAAGTTTGTAAAAAAATTTATAAGTCGTCTGGTTTCACGGTACGGGCTTGCACAGATAAAAGCTTACGAAGGCTTTTGAGCATATATGAGGTACAAACTACTATTTAGTTCGTTATGCGACGAGATAGTTCGTAAATTACGAAGTATTTTCTTTGTTGCCTTATGAATGCCGAAACTATGTACTTTGTTATTACAAGCTATTTTTCTTCGTAAAGTCGTAAATAGTGTGTTAGGTTTTCAGAGTGCGCTAACATACAAGTTATCTATGACTGCGATCCATGTTCGACACCTTACCCTCCTAAGTGTGCATGCTCGTGGGATCTGACTTACCAACAGGGCTGCGAGGAGGCAAGCGATGAGAAGGACAAGCTTTGCCATTTTGACATAGGCCCTACTGCGCGCGCTCAATTTATATACGATCAGTCCTGACAGTGAAGCTCGACTTGTGAACATCGCTTGATGCCCTCATTTGAACCCGTCACGACTGTCCCGTTGCCGTGTGCCATGAAGTTCACTGGTAAACATAATGACTTTCGTGAAGCGTACAGTCTCTGCGCCTTTCTTGAAAAGTGCAAGAGCTTATGCCAGGCGCGGATCCAGGATCCAGAAACTGGTTGGGGAGGGGACGCAAAAGTTGCCAACCTTGACACTTAGTTGACTTTTTGCCTTCCTTTCAGGCCGCCTTTTGTGTGTGTGTGTGGGGGGGGGGGGGGAGTGACTTGCGCCAGGCTCATGCGCTCACTCCCTCCTATGACAATTCGTTAGAGGCATTGCCTCTACACAGTAAACTTCTTACGGATACATCCTATCCGTATTACGGACATTTTTGTGCAATTGCAATTACGGATAGATTTTGCTTGCAATACGGTTGAAATCATCCGTGTTACAAAGAGTTTTACGTCCGTAACATACAGACGAAAATATCCGTATGGTACGGACGTAAAACTCTTTGTAATACGGATGATTTCATCCGTATTACAAGCAAAATCTATCCGTTTCTATCTATCTATCCGTCAATTCTATCCGCCTATTCAATCCGCCTATTCTATCTATCCGTCAAATCAATTGCACAAAAATGTCCGTAATACAGATAGGATGTATCCGTAAGAAGTTTAGTGTGTAAACAAAGTTTTAGGCTCGAAGTACTTCGAGCGCTTTTCTATGCTTGTATGTCTTTTCTTTAATTTTCTTTTTGTTCTTTTGCGTACGAGCTTAGAATTTCGCTTTTGTTTCTCCAGTGCCTCCTCTGTGAAAGCATCATAGTCACGGCCTGTGAGCCTTGAGTTGGGTGGAAAATGAAAGAACACTGCAGGAGCGGGGATAAACCACTGCAAATGCAAAGGTGACACTTGAGTAATTTTTTTGGCGATATCATGTAGTATCGGCAAAAAACCGCCTTACCAAAATATCTTGCCTTCAGGACGGCGATACACAAAAGAATCGCCATAATTTGGTATCGCCGTTTTGAAGGCAATACTTTTCCGTAAGGCCGTTTATTGTCTGTCTGTGTGTGTGTACACTACTCCTCCTGAACGGCTCGGCCGATCTGGCTGAGATTTTGCAGGCTTATTAGGTATGTTCTTGGCTCGGCACACGCGAAATTTCACAATCCTAGCTCACGTGGTTCAGGTTTTATAGCCGAAAAACATCTAAAAAACGGCGAAAAATCGAGTCTTCTGCAGGCAGATCACTTCTGTCTTGAAGAAAGGGGGGTCTAGGGGTTCAAAGTTACAAGGGTCAAGATCGTGATATCTGTTGATGAAACAACTCTATCTGAAATGCAGGGGGGGTCAAGGGGCCGAGCCCCCCAGTATGCAACAAGTAAGAAGCCGCCGAAGATGGACAAGCCAATGCCCTACCTTAAGGTAGGTTTACGCCAGACCGCGTCTTGTCGTAACAGGCTTCGCGATGTCTCGCGGCCTGTTCCTCCAATCCGCGCCTGGCGTACCTACCTTGGCCTGCGGCGCTAGCCTGCCTTCGGCAGGCATTGGCTTGTCCATCATCGGTTACTTCTTACTTGTTTCATGCTGGGGGCGGGACCCCCTTCATTCCAGATAGAGTTGCTTCATCTACAGATAACACGATCTTGACCCTTGAAACTTTTCAACTTGTTGGGCCTTTCTTTAAAACAGAAGTGATCTGCCTGCAGAAGACTCGATTTTTCGCCGTTTTTTAGGTGTTTTTCGCCTATAAAAACTGAACCACGTGAGCTACGATATTGAAATTTCGCGTGTGCCGAGCCAAGAACATACCTAATAAGCCTGCAAAATCTCAGCCAGATCGGCCGAGCCGTTCAGGAGTAGTAGTGTACACACACACACAGACAGACAAACACACAGACAGACAGACAAAACTTTTCAACCGCACTGAAGTAACGGGCTTCGCTATCGCTCAGCCAATAAAGTTATGTGTGTCGCAATTTATGTGGCGGTACAGGTATGACTGAATTCGGTTATGCGTGTTGAAAAGTATGTCTGTCGCAGGCGACTCTTTACTTTAAGCCAAAATGAAGCTTACTCATTTACCTAAAAGGGTTTTAGCACAGAAATTGTAAAATCTTAATCCGTCTACATCAAAACAAAATAATTTACGAAGTGCTTTTAACATGTATGAGCCCCCTTAAGGGGGCATTTTGATGTAGACGGACTAAGATTTTACAATTTCTGTGTTAAAATCCTTTTAGATAATTGAGTCAGCTTCATTTTGGCTCAAGGGAAAGTGACTTTGGACAATTTTAGAGATTTAGTCGAAACGTTTAAAATTTTGCTTCTCGTAAGATTTTGTTCGCATACTTGCTCAGATCTGTGGGGAAAAAATCAGGGAGACTCATCCCCAGTAGTGTCATAGAATTGACTACAATGGGCTGTATATCTGCAATAGTTTTCAAGAAAAAAAACAAAAACAATTTTTTGTGCACAAATTTGTTTAAAAAATTGTTTAAAAAATTGTTTTCATTTTTTTTCTTGAAAACTATTGCAGATATAAAGCCCATTGTAGTCAATTCTATGACACTACTGGGGATGAGTCTCCCTGATTTTTTCCCCACAGATCTGAGCAAGTATGCGAACAAAATCTTACGAGAAGCAAAATTTTAAACATTTCGACTAAATCTCTAAAAAATGTCCAAAGTCACTTTCCCTTAAGCCAAAATGAAGCTTACTCAATTATCTAAAAGGATTCTCACACAGAAATTGTAAAATCTTAATCCGTCTACATCAAATTTTTTTTTAGAAAAGTGCCTTTAACATGTATGAGCCCCCTTAACTGATCGGCTATGTCAATCCTAACCTCACTTTTTTCAAGTTTGGAGGAAAGATTAGAATACCTCGCTTTGAAAAGCATTTTGAGCTGTGTAAATGGCAGCAGCGATGATTCGAGAAATAATTCAAGCATTTAACTGCAAAAACTACTTACATTCTTTTTTTATACGGGCATGTTACGAATCACCACAAATGCCTGTTACGGAAGAAATACGTCCCTA